GCAACAACAGCAGCAGCAGCAGCAACAACAACAACAACAACAGCAGCAGCAGTCCTCCATGTTCAATCCGCAATTCCTGCCGAACTTCAGCGACATGATGAGACTCGTGGCGCGCCACGAGACCGCCGATCGCTCAAAGTTCTATCCCAACGAGTCCGACGAGTATCAAGAGATCGTGGGCGAGAGCGACTATCAGCAGAGCACGGCGAGGGTTTTCCCAAGGCCGACGAATCCTCCGGTCTATCACCAGAAGCGCTCGAGTCTCGAGCTCAGCCGCGTCGAGCTCGAGAGCTTCGTGACACCGAAAGCTCAGACCGCCGGCAGGCGGAGCGGCTCCGTCGGCAAATCAAAGTTCGGCCTGCGTAACGACGCAAGCAACTTCCTCTCGTAGAGCATCGCCGAGCGCCTCACTCTACCCGAGCATTCGGACGTCGTCGACAGAGACTCGCGAGTACGGAGACGCTGAGTCCGCTAGACGCTCGGCTTTGCGTTTCTTCCGAACCGACGTGGTAACCGCAACCTCCTCCCCCTCCCACCCAACCCCAATCAATCGTCCCTCCTTTCATCGCGTCCCCCACACGCCTCCACCCCCTTCGCCCTTCCCCCTCCTCCCCGACCATTCCGCACACTATACCCGACGATCATTTACTTCATTTGCTTTCGTTTCTACTTATCTCGGAGTTTATAAACGATAAATCGAGGCGGTGTAGGCGTTAAGCGGTTGGAATAACTACTACACTTTCATTTTGTAACTAACGATCGATATTTTGTACATACTTTAATGTTCGAATATTTGAGTGATAGTGTGGATACTCATGCATTCGTGATACTTGAGTGCTGTCGCTTTCCTCGTTTCTTCCACGTATTTCCAAATTCATAAAATAATCGCAAAGCCAGCCGACGATATTTGGATATTAAATATTCGTGTCGGTGGATTATTATCAGTGTCCATGCTTAAACATTCGAATGTTTCAATAAACAAGCGATAATACAACTAATATACAACTAATAATTGAAAGCTCTTGTACAACCTACGATCGAACAAACCGATGCGCGTAAACTTGTAGCGTTCGATCGATTAACGAATAGTCTAATACTAAAGTAATTTGTTAAAAGCTCGCATGTATTCTACAGTTTTTCGGATTCGTCAAACGTTCTCTAAAATAGCGATCACGACACTTTATCGCCCTTGGACACTTAAATATTTGAATGTTCGTATATTTGATGAGTAGTCGAATAATATGTGACTAAGTAAAATCACCCTAGCCCTGCATGGTGTGCGTGCGTGCTGCTTTCGTATCGTCATCCAGATGCTGACGTCAACCAATCGCAAAAACTTCCAATTAAATGCATTCGTCGCTATTTTCTTTCTAATGTAATAATAAATATATCGAGGGAATGTCAGATTGTTGAAAAGCTGTGCTTGAGACGATACGCAACAGTGAACGAACGAGTGGAAATAAGAGCTTGAATTGATGTGCGTGCGTGCGTGCGTGCGTGCGTGCGTGCGTGTGCGTGCGTGTGTGCGTGTGAGAGAGAGAAAGAGAGAGAGAGAGAGAGAGAGAGAGAGAGAGAGAGGTGAGAGAGATGTGAGTGAGTGAGCAATATTAATCTTGAGAGAACAGACATAATGAACGTTTTTACAAATGTATAATGAATCTCTAGAATCTAATTTTATATTAAACGTCGAACGAATGGGCAGCAACCTAAGTACGAAGTATTGTCATTACGATGTTGAAAATTATATATGTATTTAATAAGAAGGAGATAAGCTTTAAACCAGGCTTTGACCAGCTTCATGCGTCATTATAAGGTTAGAGATCTTTTGTTGAAATTTAGGCACAAAAAACCGAAATGATAAAACAGAGAGCGAGAGTAAGGAGAGAAGCTAAAAAGGATGTGTTAGTATGTTACTAAAAATGTGATAAGATTTAAAGGAGTGTATTGTTAGCGGTGGCCTGTTAGGTGCTTAGATCAAGGATAAATAAAACAAAAACAAAAAAAATTACCCACGATAAGGATAACGCGTTGCGTAGAAACTAAAATTCGCAGTCGCAGTCGAGGCGTGCCTTCCATATGTATTTGTTGGCGTTTTCATCTATATAAATAGATTACGAGAGTAACATAAATAATTAATATTAAATGAAATAATTAGAAGTGAATAAAGTGGCCGTGAGAATGCAAGTTAGCGAGAGGGACTTGGGAAAGTGCCTCATTTTCATTTTTTAGACAGTGTTCTAATAGAGTGCAGAAAGAGAAAATAAAAGAGTAGATAAAGTCTGAAATTGTTATGCACTAAAGTTCAGAGACAACAAATTATCATGGATGACAAATGCATCATCGGATGTATCTTGTAAAATAAATAAAATCGGAGAATAAAGAAATGCTCGAAAAATAATGGAATAGACAAAGAGAAGCTGCATTGAAATGATTATCAATATATTTTTATTTGCTTGTAATATGCAAAAACAAATAAAAATTATGGTTATAAACCACAAAGACGCATATATATATATATATATATATATATATACTTTACGCGTACGTGAATATGTATGTGTATATACACGCGCGCGCGCGCGCCCGCACGTAAAGCATCCCTGTATACAGATGCTAGAATTTTTCGTGTAATAATAGAGAGATGAAAAATAATAATGATTTCGGGAAAAAGCAACTTCTCTAACTGCATGCCAACTTAAATGTTTTTTTCTTTTTTACTTGCGTAGGAGACTGAAATGATAGACTACGTTGTCGTTGAATAAAAATACTCTTGTTAAGCGATCGTAGCGTGTGAATAGATGTACGGGTCATTATACATACATGCATACATAAATTTAAGTTCTTTAACAATAAAAGTTTAGCGAAACCTTTCTCCTCAACGACTTCCGTCTATTTCGTTTTATACAGCTAATATCGCGCGTTACTCGAAAAATGACTATTGTTTTTTTTCTTTCTCTTTTTTTTTTAGCAATTTTTAATTTTTCTATAAGGGCTCCTTATCTCTTTTGTGCGGAATTCATTTTTGGACTTTAAAACATAATAGATTTTTTATTAACAAGTTGTTTGCATACACTCCTTAACACTCTAACGGCTAATTAATTTTATTAACATAAATCTAATTTCAACTAAACTTCATGTTAATAAACAATTAATATTCGATTCTTAATACTCTTTTTTATCTTTTCCTTTTTTAATTTATCACGAAAAAAATGCGCACAAAATATTTAAAAAATTTTTAAGTGATAAGAGAATTTATCTAAAATCTTTAAAGATAGAAAATTTTTATTGCAATCAATGAAGAGTTGAAGAAATAATTGAATTCGGCAAAAGTCACCATAACTCTAATCAAGTTTATAAGAATAAAAGAACGAATTCTGCAGAAAGGATTTATTAAAATTCACGATTTTTTTGCAGAATCCTATAGGCAACAGGGTGGGCAGGAAACGATCGTGAACAATATTTTTTTTCTTTTCTTTTTTTTCTTTCTGTTTTTTAGACAGTAAAGGAAATGAAAATTATAATGCACGCAAAAAATCATGTAGCGGCAAGTAAAAAAAAAATGAACAAACTTGTAAATACATAGCGTTAGTCTTGCCGAAAAAGAGATTTCAAGAGTGCGATTGAACTTAATCGTAATGTTACTTGTTATGGGAAATTTTTGCGAAAAAAGCACTGGGGCGTGTTTCAAAAAAAAAAAAAAAACAAAAAACAAAAAAACAAAACAAAACAAAAGAAAACAAACAAACGAAAAGTCACTCTGACGAATTCTAATATTATTGGCAGCTATTTTAAAAACTTTGAACTATTTGATTATTTTTACAGAATAGAAAACTTGTTAAACTTCATTTTAATGAACAAGACCAGTGAGTTTTTAAATTGGCGAAAAATATTTTATATTATTTGTATACAAAAGGTAAGAGGGAATGATATAAATACCTTGCGTTATACAAATACATTGATAATAGTTATAAAATCATAGTTTTAATATAGAAGAATCGACATGATATATTGAATACGAATAGTACACAAACATTTCATTGCTTAATCATTTGGACTCTAAAATCTTTATATACAGCATCGAATCATTTTGATGATACTATTTTTTAAATTATACCGTCACTCAAATTTTGTAGTGTAACTGAATTTGCAATAATATCAATAGCCATGACAAACTTTTGTGCTAAAGAATATTGTGAATCTGTCGATCTGTTGATCTTATACATCAAATATTTTATTTTAAAAAATTCTTATTTTTTTTTTTTGTTTTTTTTTTTGTTTTTTTTTTTTTTTTTTTTTGTTTTTTTTTTGTTTTTTTTTTTTTTGTTTTCGTTGTTGTTATTTTTTGTGGTAAGGTGAGTATTTTATGCGAATAGTATTGTGAAGAGATTCATAAATAATTGCAAATGTCAAGCGCCTACGTGTAATTTAATGCACATCACCTGACAAAAATGCTACATTCCAGAAAGCCGCGGCTGCCAACAATTATATACAATAGATTCGCGTAAAAGTTAAATGAATCGAGTAACAATAGTAACATTGTAGATAAATATATAGTATAAATGAATGAATTATGTAATGTAATGTAAGCATTAAATTACTAATTATTGTTAATTTCGTTGATTATAAGTAAATTGCGATTATAAATTGTATTATTTGACATTAATGCGAAAAACGTATTCATAAGTCACGCGTTTTAATAAATTTTTTATATGAAACTTGTAAATACTCCTTCAGCTCATTAAAACGCATTTTTTTAATTATAAAAAGAATTTAGCAAATATATGCACTCTAAACAATTTTATTGTCAAAAATTTATATGTTTTATTTATCGCCCGATCCTTCATTAATTTGTAAAATAAATTAATTGGAACTGATCAACTTGAGAGTCTGGGAAAAAGTGAAAAAGATAAAGATCTTAACAGTCTTTGTATAAATAAATTTGATTAAAATTTAATATACCAATGCAATAATAAAGTAAATCAGAAATAAATTTTGTCCACTACACATTGTAAAAGTTAATTTATTTGTATAATTTATCACATTTAATACAAATTACTTAAGACTTATATATACCTAAAATTACTCCATTTGTCACAACATCTGGAAGACTAGTAGTCTGATTCACATGAACATATGGGTCACAATGAAATGTTAATACTGGATGGTGTTGAAGCGAACCAGATTGAATAATGGCTTCGTCTTTATAAATTTTTAACATGCTGAAACACATTAAAGTTCTTGGCTAAATCAATATTTTATCTTACAATTGATAAACATCTGCATACCCTTTATGGTACATTTCTGAAGCTGAGTCGTCGATACCTAAAAAATTAAGAACTTGTTGCTTCGTATTGGCCAACTTCAGCATCTTTTGCATATAAATCTCTAAAGCGCTTCTTCTTTGTTCTAAAACTTTTGGATTTGAATTTCTCACTCGCTTTGGAGGGAATGGGGCTGTATGACAGCCTTTTTTTAACTATATTGTCGGACATATTTATCGATTCATTAATTATTGTATGAAGCAGATTATTAAGAAATATGAGAAAAAAATTTACCATACGATGAAGAGTATTAAATTCACTATATCTCTTTTCCACCAAATATCTGAATCCATTGTTTGAATCTACCATTTCGACAGCATAAACATAATAGGGTTTTCCATGAGACACGTTCGCCAAACGGTAACCACTGATGAAAATTTGATACATATCATGACTTTTATTTAATTCCATTACAGAATTACGAAGCAGTTGTTTTTGGCATTTTTTACATCAAATCGTTAAGATAACAATTCCTTTATTTATATTTTTGATAATCATCGATTTATCATCGGATATCTCTTAATTGTTTCGCATATGATAACAAAATTGCAACTTGTTGATAAAACAAACTTCCTTTCAGGTTACATCCTGCATCTACTTGCTGCGCCCTACACAAACTTTCTCGAATCCGAGAGATCAGAGATCAGAAAAACTGCAAAAAATTAAGAAACATAAGCAAACTTGAATGAATGAATGAGATTAACTTTCAATGAATAATGAATAACAGTGCGTTCCATATGTAAACATAATTAAGCAATTGTGCTTCTAAAATCTAAACTACTGTGCTGCTAATAGAGCAACTACTGCTAATGATGGGCACATCGAATAATACAAAATCAGCTGATTGGAAATTTTTACGCGCAACTCGCATGCGCACGAAACAAAAGGCCGATTGATATTCTATTTGAATTTTTTGCAGAGCTTGTTAACAATGAAAGAGCCAATAATTTAAAATCTCAACTACAACAGGCTACAAGTTATTCACGAATGTTAATCAATAGATAAAAGTTTTACTAATCAACAAGTTTTTGTTTCTCATAAATCTTGATAAGATGCATGGTGTTAATATTTTGAGGTTATACCGTTATCACCGCAAAATATTATTTCGAGAAAAAAATGTCAATAGACTTTACTCTTCCGAAACTAAGAATAAATTTAGAAATATATTAAAATTGCATGAGAGAGGAATGTTTGATGAAATTTTTCCAGATACAAGTGCGTAAGTACTCGATGTTTTTCATTTGTAATTTAAAGGGATGATCGGTACATTTAATCAGTGCTTCCATCCTTATAAATATTAAGATATATAGATATTATACTTGCTTAGACAGTTGAGAAAAATATGATAAAAATTATGTGCCTAGTGGGATTAATACTTTATTATTATTATAGGAATGATGTTACCAAGATTTTGAATTGTTCGCCACAGTGTGTTTATGCAGGATTCGATCCAACAGCTAGTAGCCTTCACGTTGGAAATTTATTAATTTTAATAAATTTATTGCATTGGCAAAGAGGAGGACATCGCGTTATTATTGTACTAGGTGGTGCAACTGGATTAATAGGTGATCCAAGTCATCGTGAATACGAACGAATGGCCATGGAAGAATACACAGTAAATGAAAATATTAAATCTATTAAGAAGACAATTATGGAAATCTTTGATAATCATGAAAGATATTTTTGGAAAGATTATAAATTTCCCCTTGCACCCATAAAAATAGAAAATAACAATGATTGGTACAACAAGACTACTGTTATCGAATTTGTCAAGAATATTGGACAGCAGTTCAGAATGGGGACAATGTTAAACAAAACTTCTGTCCAAGGTCGGCTCAAATCAGAAACTGGAATGAGTTTTACAGAATTTACCTATCAAATTTTTCAAGCTTACGACTGGTTGTATTTATTTCAAAAATATAAATGCCAATTTCAAATTGGTGGGAGCGATCAGTTAGGAAACATTTCAGCTGGACACGAATTAATCTCTAGAGTAACGAAAAAAAATGTCTTTGGCTTCACGTTGCCTTTAATAACTGGAGAAGGTGGAAAGAAGTTTGGAAAATCACTTAAAAATGCTGTTTGGCTGTCATCGCGTAAATCGTCAAGTTTTCAGTTATATCAGTTTTTCATAAGAACCAATGATTCTGACGTTGAGGCTTATCTAAAACTCTTTACCTTCTTACCTCTCCCACAAATTGATCAAATAATTCAAGAACACAGGACACATCCAGAGCAAAGAAAAGCGCAACATATATTAGCGGAACATGTCACGACATTGGTACACGGAGGTAATGATTTTAATTTCTCCATTGCGGTATTAACAATCATTCGGTATTAGATTTAATGGGTTAATATTAAAATTAATAAAACTTCTAGTCATTATATTTTTCAATCATTCAAGAATTTCAATATATTTTATAATAACAATCTACAGATAAAATCACGATGGAACAGTTATAAGTAATAATTAAAAGCTTTCCTACAAATTTGTAGTAAAAATAATTAAAACCGTTCGAATAATAACCAACAAATATATATTTATTTAATATTAAACGGATAATTAAATATTACTTTTACTTTACAGAAGAAGGATTATCAGCAGCCAAAAATGCCTCCCTTCTCTTATATGATTCATCCATCGAATCATTATCGTCAATGACTACAGAACAATTGTTGTGTGTTTTTGAAAATACCCAAATTACTCATTTAATTCCTGATGAAAATATGAGTGTTTTTGATCTTGCTATGAAGGCAAAGTGTTTCAAAAATGAAAGTGACGCCGCCAGAATAATTAATGCTGGTGGATTTTATATAAATTATGAAAAAGTTACGGATGTTAATGAGATCATTCATCCTGATAAATATATATTACCAAATAATATAACACTTCTAAGGACTGGAAAAAAAACTTATCATATAGTACAATGGATGGAGTTAAAGAAAGATGCAAATTTGGTGTAATATAAAATTATTTACAATTTGCAATTAAATGAAAGTATTTTATAAAATTATATACTATTTGATATTAAAATTTACCCATTATAAATAACACATATTTAATCAATGTTAATTTCTGTTAATTTATTTTATATTAGTTATTCGTTTGTATATTTTACGATGATTGTAAAGTTAATAAAATTTTTCGTGTTTCATTCTGTAATAAGGGAAAATCATGTTCCGTTTGTTGCATAATGTCCTTTAACTGATTATTCAGGCTTTGTTGATTTTGCCATTCTTCGTTTAAAAGTGTTTCGTTTTTAATAAGTAATTTATATTGACCATTTTTCAAATCCCTGAGCATATTTACTTTACGTTGTTTTCTCACCAGCACTTCCAAATTCTGAAATAATAATATTATAATTGAAATAATAACATTTAAAAAGCCAATAATATCTATTGTATCAAATGCAATATATACATGGTGTTTTATCAACTCGGCTTCCATAATTTGTTTTTCTATGTCAGGTATAATGTCCTCGTTTTGTCTCAATAATTTCTGACCCTCGTTCAAATAATCCAATAACTTCTTTTGTTCAGCTTCCAGGCTACTAATTTTATTTTCCATTTGTTTTATTTCCTAAAATGGAATTAATTATACAAAATAAAACTATTTCTTATCTAAGAGAAAACTTAAAACTAAACTTATAAAATAAAATTACTTTTGTTATTTGTTTGATTTTAATTTTTTGATCTTCTAATCTTTTTCTAAGTACTATTCTTTGATTGTGTTGATTTTTTGGATTTCTTTTTTCTCTCGCTATCGCCTCATCCATAATATTTTCCCTTTTAGATACACAGAATTCCATATTTTGAATTAACTTCTCTTGGGTTTTTTGAAGGTAAGAAAAACGTATTTCCATCTTATGTATTTCACTTTTCATCATAGCTATGTCGCTGCCCGTACTCCTTTTCTCTTTGCAAGATTTATTTATTTCATTTACCAATTGTACCTTGAAAAGCCAAGTAATTGAATAAAAATAGTAGCTCGAACGAATTAAACAAATTACTATGACACGGTAGCATGTTTGTACAGTAATTGATTTTTTGAATAATACTTTCAGTTCACGATAAAACAAAAATAAAAAAATAAAAGGGACATGTTAAAAAAAATACTTTTTTTAACTATTTAGCCTTTTTACTCTATACCTTTTTTTCCCAAGACAGACTTTCACGCTGAGCAGATTTTAATTCGTCCTTAAGTGTACCTTTATCATTATTTAATTGTTTAATGTCAGTTTGTAATTTGATCAATTCCATTTCAGCATCTTTTAATGAATTAATGTATTCATTTTTGGCTGCTGTATTCTTATCCTCGAGTTCAATTTTCAATTCTTTTTGCGAAGCAAGCCTGAGATTAATTTGCAATAATTTATACTGCAGTGCACTAATTGATCTATTAATACTAACGTCTTCTTTTTGCTGTTTTTCCAATTCATTTTCGAGCTTTATGTTCTTTTGTTCCATTAGTATTACGTCTTTACTAACAGTACTAAACTCTTTCATTTGTAAATCCCTTTGCTCGCTTAAAGTGAACATGTAACCTTGCTGACGAAGCCAAAATTGTTGTGCTTTTTTCATTTTCCCTTCTATTTCATTAAGAAGCTTTTCCATAGCTGCAATTTTAAGATCTAAAGGATTTGCTTCTTTACCATCCACCGATGATATCTAGATTAATGTCACATTGAATATTTTCAATATTACATAGCATTGTTACTCTTGTAGTAATATATTAAAAAATTACCTCTTCCATTTTTTTATTTGAAGCTGCAAGTTTTCTTTCCTTTTGCTTAAATAGTAAATCATAATTTTTTATCTCATTTTGTAATTTATTGATTTCTTTTTCTTTTTCTAAATTCTTCTGCATTACAGCATCCAAGTCAAACTTGCTGTTTTCCATAAGAGAATTAAGTTTTTCCGATTCAAGAAGATATTTACCATATGAATTTTCAAGTCGTGCTAAATTTAATTCATTCACAATATTAAAATCCTTAGCTTCGTGCAATAATTTATTTATATATCGGACTGTATTATCATGACACGATTTATCATCCAATTTAAGTAAAATATCATCTTCCAATTTATGCTTTTGATTGTAAGATTTCATAATTTCTTTATTTAAGAAATTTTCTTTGTTGAGAATTGATTTGTATTCCTAAAATATTTCTATAATATATAAAATCAAAGTATTCTATTTTTAATTACAATTATTATTGTTGTACGCACGGTTGTCACAAGGGCACATTCTTTTTCATTCTGATTCATATATTTAGATGTTTTAACAAAATCCGATTCTAAATTTAAAAATTTTTCTTTATCGAGACCATGTGATATTTTTATACTCTTCATTTCATCATTCATTTTTAATTGTAACGATGTAAGATATTCATTATTTTCCATTTCTTTCATGGAATCTTTTTTTATTTTTTCTGTCTGAGTTTGTAAGCTTTGTAAGGACTCCCGAATTTGTCTGAAATTCATGAAAATATAGTTAAATTGTTAATATTACAATACCAACTCTTATAAATAAAAGTTAAAGATAATTATCATGTTAAATAAAATTTGTGAAATATGCAATGTGATATTATATTAAAATATATTTCGAAAATGTTTCTTTTCTTACAATCTAATTGATGTAAAATGGAAAATGTTAAATTAGTTAACAAACCTTTGCTCTGAAATAATTTCTTCGCTAATTTTATCTCTTTGACTAATAAGATTTAGAACATTGTTCCATGCACCGTACAAAGTTTTATGCTCCTTTTCTAATCCTTCGAGATCGGCATTCGCATCAGCTATTGTCTGACTCAAATTAATTTTCTCTTCATCTTTTATCTGAAACTGTTCGTCAAGATCCCTTATTTCAATCTGCAGCTTCCAAATTTCATCCTCCAATTTATACAGAACATAATCTTTTTGTTGCTTTTGATAAAGAAGCTCGCGCTCTACAATAGCATCTTTTTCTGATATTCTTTGAGAAATCGTTACACTTCCAGCTAATTCACTTTCCCACTTAAAAAATTGTTCCTGAAGTATATCAAGGCTCTCGATACTTTGCAAAAGATTTTTTTCTTTTGACTTTTTAGTTTCCAATTCTCTGTTTAGTTTTTTATTTACTTCTTTGACTGTTTTTAAATGCTCTTCGGTATCTCCTCTTAAATTAATAATTTCAGCTAACATATGTTTGTAATTTTCGATAGCTGCGTTTTGTTGAGCAGCCTCTTGTTGTATATCGAATAAAATAATACCTTCGTCTTCTCGAATCTTATTGTCATCTTTAATAGCCGCTTCCTAATAAAACAATGTAATTTATAAAATGTGATTTATTATTTTCCATTTTTTAATTAGATTTACTTCTGTATCAATCAAATTAAGTTCTCACAAGTTCGCAGATTTCATTGGAAAGCTTGTCGTCGGTACGCAGAAGATGTAACTTGAGAGCATCTTGAAATCTTTTCATTAATGGATCGTCAGGATCTAATATTTTAAAATCATCTTTATCTGAATCGCTCATCCATTGCTGCTTAGGTGGCACTGAAGTACTTTCAGGAAAAAGTAAGGATGATTGTTGTTGAAATGCATCGTGCGTGTCATTTAATTCTAGCTCCTCTATTTTCTCACTATCCATAACAAAAACAAAGGTATTACAATAATATATCAATGGTATTATTGATATAATTAATATAAAATTTGTTTTAATATGGATGAGATAAAAAATATGCAATAATTACAAAATTTGATCAATCTTCCATTAGGTTTTAGTAACCATGGTGATTTGAATACTAAATGCTATTAAGGTGAATATTATGCTTAAGATATAATAAAGATATAATCGTGTTTGCAATGTACAATTTGATACTGTTAGTGCGCTAAATCATTAAGATTTTATAGGAATTTTAATTTTAATTCAAAAGTCAAATAAAAATTTTATAGTTTAACAGTGGTTTTTCAAAATATTCGCATACGATTAGATACGAGGTATTGCTATTTCTTAGTTTCACAACACTTGCTCATATAAATTATAAAATAATTATAATAAGCTTATTTAATCTAGAATAAAAAAATATATTGCATTAAACAGATATTATTTTATAATTATTATGAGCTTCGGTTGGATGTTTAAAATGTCGTGTTACTCAAAATAAGGGACAAAATTTTAAAGTAGAAAGAATTATTTATTCAACGTACAACCAACGACCTTTGATTTTACTTATTTATTTATATTTACTTAATTTTACGTATTTATTTTTTTTTTTTTTTTTTTTTTTTTTTTTTTTTTTTTTGATTGGTACTAAACCTTTTAATAATTTTTTTTAATCTTCTAAGTCACAGGATTGCCTAGTGACGAGTTCACAGCGGATGAAAAGCGCGGCAAAAGTCAATGAAATTCAGACTCCTATTGGTCAAGTATTAGAATATTGTGAAGATTGGACCAAATTTTTCATGAAAATCATTTTTGTAAAATCCCGGAAGCTCCGATTTTCAGTTCATTTGCCGCCAAAGCTTATTCTTACATATACAAACTTCAGTTACTCCCGCGCGCTTTTTAGTGCTTATTGTCTTTGTTTTTCATTTATACGGAAAACGATCAACCTGACGAGGAAAGGTACGCTCGAGAATTTCTAGCGTCTTCGAGAATTTGTCGGAGCTGCCTCCGATTCAGCTTCGCGTGAGGTATTCATCGCCGTTCACAAGTTGTGTATTGTTTCTTTTTTTTTTTTTTTTTTTTTTTTTTTTTTTTTTATGAAAAATTGAAATCCGAATTATTCTCTGAGTGTTGTTTATTGGAGAGAAAAAAAAATCTAACAATGGCTAAAGTACAGGTGGCAAATGTTGCTGTACTCGATAATCCATCACCATTTTTCAATCCTATACAATTTGAAATTACTTTCGAATGCATCGAGGAGCTCAAAGAAGGTTAGACTAAATGTATATAATCGGCAATGTTTATGCTGTTGTAATATCATAAATAATTATAATGATTCGTAGCTGTGTAGCTGCATTTAGCGAAAGATGCTAATTGCAACGGCATCGTTTTATTTTACATAAATCCTGCAATTAGTGTACTGAGAAAGAAAAGTACATAAATTGTAGGTAGGTATTAGTAGGTGGTAAAACGGACAAAAGTAGCCTTATCAAAAGTTTTTTATAAATTGAATAATCTATGTGTTACCAGTGCAGAAGGAGCACAAGGTTCATTTTATGCTTTTGCTTTTACTTTCACTTTTACTATTACTATTACCATTACTATTTACTTAACCTTAATATTTACAAAATATATTGTTATTGAATTTTTTTTTTTTAATATTATTAAATTCATCGATTCTATATTTTTACAGATTTGGAATGGAAAATGATTTATGTAGGTTGTGCCGAATCAGAAGAGTTCGACCAAGTTCTTGACACAATCTACGTTGGACCAATACCCGAAGGAAGACACATGTTTGTATTTCAAGTAAGACCATATTGTTTATAACAGTCACAGTAACCTCGTAACAAAAATTAATAGTACTTATAGTAACTATATTAATAATATACCTTAATATCGAATTTAGTAAATTAATATTAGTTACCCACTTAAAACTAAATGTAAAAATAGTATATTATTATTATTATTATTATTCTATCAATTATATTGCTACCAATTAATAAAACGATAGACAATAATTCATCAAAATTGTTTATTAAAAAATTGGAAGCTATTTATAATTATATTACCATTGATTTGAATTGTATTATTAATAATCGTTGTTCCAATTGTTTTACAAAGTATATAATTTTTATAATTAACATAATTATTTTAAAAAATAATAATGAACTATAATTATAATGATACGTAATGAAAATTCATTATGTATAAATAAATTATTTTATCAATGATCTATTTATCGATATATAATTTCTTGCCTAATTGGAAAAATATTTTAATATTATATAATTTTTTTTAAATATAGCTAATTTTCAAATATTTAACCTTAAAAACTAGATACATTCAATACAAATGACATTTCATAGAATATTATAAAATAATTTATTACAAATAATTAAAGTAAGACCTCATACATTATATTTTCATTAAAAATTGTACTTTTGGATAATACTTCTTCTTTACCTCATTGTAAAATCATACTCGTTCAAATATATTTATACCAATAACTATAATTTAGCAATTTTATCTACTATATTTAATTCCATATAGCCAAAATGAAAGTAAATTTCCAGATTTTTTTAATCAGAGATACAAATAATATTCATGAATTATTGAAGCAATTTAATTTAATATATAATATTCCATCATAATTAAAATTAACATTGTAATTAAAAAATGTAATTAAAATAATTTTGATGCCTCTTTTACCTTTTCAATACTCAGTTTTTGTAAAGTGAAAATAAATAAATATGATTTATGAATTGTTTATTAAATATTTGAATAAAAGATTTTTAATCATGGAATCCTTTGAAAGTATTTAAAAAAATTTTATTCTATAGTGATTCCTTATTTTTATAACTTATTTCTTGTTAAGTTAGTATTATGTAAAATCACTAAAGTGAATATTACTTAATTATGTGTACAAATAATTCTAATTGTAGAATACGAGTTTAAAACGGGCCAAAGCAAATTCTTAATAATATATTTAATTTTATCTAAAAATACATATTACAACGTATTTGAAATAATTTATTATTAATTTGAACATTTCAGGCAGATCCACCAGATACAAGTAGAATTCCTGTGAACGATGCTTTAGGTGTTACAGTAGTCTTATTAACTTGTTCTTATCGTAGTCAAGAATTTGTGAGGGTGGGATATTTTATAAACAATGAGTATACCGATCCTGAATTAAGGGAAAATCCACCTCCACAACCTCAATTTGATAAAGTACAAAGGAACATTTTGGCTGACAAACCACGTGTTACTAGATTTAAGATAAATTGGGATGACAGTTCGAGCTCCCCAACGAATACTATGGCTGAAGGTATGAATGCACAGAATGCAGTGGAAGAAACAACACAAGATGTTCCTTCAACTTCACTGAGTTTTACGGAAAATACACAAAATAGTATGGAAGTGATGTAAATCTTTTATGTTTAATATTTTCGTTCTCGTTTTAAACAATCGCAAAATTTTTAAATCAATATGTGCTATATTTTGTAAATGAACAAAGAACAACACCTTAGTAGCGGCAAACATGGATTTAATTCAAAGTTAAAATTATGATATTTGCTAATTGATTATTGCTGCTGCTTTTCCTACTTCATAATTATTTTGCGTTTTATTTATGAATTCCATGTGTACAAATGACTCGACTATCAAGTCTTTAAGTTAATTGGAACTGAGTTAGAAAAAAGGGTTATATACTTTAAAACTTCGATAATGATAATCAATATTTAATTAATTTTAAATAATCTCAGACATTATTTCTATTTAGGTGTGTAATATGCAAATGTTTCATTTAGTTGTTTCAATATAAAGTTATAATATCCCAATGGAGAAGTAATTTAAATAAAAAGAACCTTTTTTTTTCTACATTTTGTACTCAGTACTGCCTAATATTAAGTGTAATTTTATTGGATTTTTTTTCTCTCATAATTTAAATTTAAATATCATGTAACACCTGACGTTATATTTATGTAGTAAAACTACTAAATTGTATAAATTTTGGATGTTCTTTCGCGAGATGCAATTATTTGAAATTTCAAGATTTATTAATTCAATGATTATCAAAGCGTAAAAGATAAGAGATAGAATTATTGCTCGAATGGTTCATGTATATATATACATATTAAAAATAACATTGTTTTCTACTTATATAAGACATGACTTTTTATTTTGTTTTCCCTTTTAGAATATAAGTTACTTTGGTCACAAATTTTCGAACTGAAAATATAATCTAATGATATTAGTTTCATAATAAATAAGTAATTCAATATTCAATCAGTAATTTTTCCATGTATAAACATTTATTATACACGCACTTTTAATAATACAAAGGTAACGAAAGGCATACAGGTAGCAATGGCGATAACAACATTATAACGATTTTTCTTGATTAACAGTTAAACTTGCATTGCATATAATTTAATTTCTTCCAGCTATTTATACATATGATGTATGCATACAATTATACACACGCGCGCGCACACACACACACACACACACATAACTGTTTATATATTAAGTACACATTTTCAACTTGACTAATTATATTAAATATAATTAACTGATTTTTAATAGTAAGGTTTTATGTGATATATTTAAAAATCTAATTCTTTCGTAAAATGTTTTATATAACAGGCATTGTTACACAATTTTCGACCCTGATAATTGGAATAAGCTTTTTAGCATTTTTAAACATTACGGTTGATGCATTATTTTATAATTATGAACTAGAAATTAATATAAATCAAAGGTATAAGAAAAAATTAATTTTTACAATTTAATATTAAAATTTTAATTTCTACCTAATTAGTGAAACGTTTTATTTATATTCCACGTTTAGTGTGCATTTTTGTATTTCACGTTATAGCGTAATCATTAAAAAATCCTTATACGTTATTAATTATAACACATTGTCAAAATTATAGTATAGTGTGAAAGAAGTACCCAATCAGTTAACGAAATTTTTATCGAATTCATTTACAATACTTTTAATTAAACACCGTTAGTAATTGTTTTCAGTTACATTAAGCTTTTTATTGGAGAAATGGTTAATTATTTGAAATTTTCCCTTTTATCAATTGTACATTCACATTTTGTCTAATTAAAATTCAAAAACTTTCTTACATTCAAACATCTATTAAATTTTCAAAATTTGTTCACCTTTCAATAATTTCACATAATATAAGCACTTGTACAGTCTATATATATATATATATATATAAAGTCTGCATGATAATTCAGAAAATTCTTTATTTTCCATAGGCTTCATGGATTCTTTCTTTCTATGCTTGTCTTGCTAAATGCATTTTGTGCTTGGGATTTTTTAACTTACACCTGTACCATTTCTACCTGTTTAATGACTCGACATTACTACTAAATGCCTCTGTAATTGACTAGGGACCTTATATATTGCATCTATATAGACACTAAAAACTTTATTTTCAAATACTGTTTTTATAAAAATCAATATTATTGCTAAAATGTTTATGTATCCACGTATATTAGAATTTTATTCGAGATTACATATATATTTTTAAGCCTTTTTAACATAGTTTTCTTTTTAGTTGCCTCGTTTAGTACTCGAAATATGTACAGTAACTTTCATTAATTAACTATTCATGCTTCTAGAGGCACTTCCACACACATTTTATCGCAAATTCTGATTTAATAATATACTATTGTTATATTTTTCATTTAACTGCAAAAGCACAAATAAAACAGTTTGCAAAATAAACATCCATTTATTTTTCCTATTGGCACTATATTTTTAACTATTGGGAAGACCAATGAACAAGTATTCGTTTTTCATGCTATTGTTTTTTTTTTTTTTAATTTTTAATCTATTATATTGTAAACGACGATAAAAAAATACAAATACACAAGGATTACAATTATTTTTTAATTTACATGTGTACATATTGATATCCTCGGAACAGAGAAACCAATATCTCTGTACTACGATAAATATTATTTAATAAAAACAGGTATTCAGTATATTCAAAAAATATATTTAATTCATGTGTAAGTAATCATTCAATTATATACTTCATTATAATTACAATTTTTATGTTTAAAAATATTTTAAAATAATTTAGAAATTATCCAAGAATTATCAAAGCTTCGTTATTGTTAGAAAAGTGTGAATCATCAAAGTTTTAATTCATCATTACGTAGATTAACACAAACTTCTACAATTTTTATAAAAACTTAAACTTTTAATTTATTTGTAATAATTATTGTTTTAGAAAATAAAATTTATTTCATAAGAACTTGTTCGTTTACTGTTGCTACTATTCTTATGGTACAGGTGCGACAAATGTTCTCATATTGTTATTATAACTTCTGTTTTTGTAAGTATCATTACAAATATAATGCCAATGAAAATATCAAGTCTATACAATGGTTTTAATCTAAAATACTAATGTTCGGTACGAGAGTATTTCAAAAACAGTTTTTTTTCTTAAATTACTTCAAAATACTTAAAATACATACATTTCTCTCATTATATATATTTATTTAGTTATTTATATGTATATATATATATATATATATATATATATATATATACACACACATAGGCTAGTAAGCCATAAATGATCGTATTATCAAATATTTAGAAATTCATGCATTTCGAAATAATTTCCGACACATCCGCATATATATATATATATATATGTATATATATATAAGCTTACTTTATTCCGATAGGATTTATATTTTTTTGTACATAATACATTATTATAAAATTGCCACTGACATGAAATTTTTTAATCAATATTATTTATTTATTATTAACAAAGCTCTTGTCTAAATTATATTGTTTAAAAAATGTTGATGCCACTTTATATTAATGTAACCACGTTGTGACTAACGAAGTTTAATCAATACAGGTACATATCGTTATTCAAATATTAATGTTTAATTAAATTACTTATCCCTACGACTTCATTATAATTCTTCATTGCAAGGATAAAACTTGCTTAATATTTTATTAAGTACAATATTATATTAAATTTACGTATTTTTTAAACACAGCTTAAGAAATTTCATAAAGCATACTCAGATATTTTATTTAATATCATTTAATGCTAATATCTTATTAATAAAACAATGACACGTAATAAACATCAATTTATTATTTATTTTAAGTAAAGTATATATACATATATATATATATATATATATATATATATATATATATAGAATATGTATCATTACAAAAGTGTCACTAATCAATTAATATTTTAATTTGAATATTCAATAAATTGGTTCTAAAATGCTTTTTCAACTATTACCTCAGAAATCTAAATTTGTTTTAACAAATGTAACCGGTGCTATATAATTTATAATTATTTATTAAAAAATTACGTATTTAAATTTTCAAATATCATCACAAGTTCTTTGTTAGTTATTACGTATCTATTGATACCATTTTTTATAAATAAAAAGCTCGAAATTATAAAAATTATTACTTTTCTCATACAACTACTTTTATCATCTTAATAAATAAATACATGAAACTTTACTGTGATTATATATTTTGACTAACTATACTTCTTAATTGTTGTAAATAACATTATACCTGTCGTAATTTTCTCGTTTTTTTTGGTCATTGTATCGTATATTGATGGATGCAAATATATTGTTATCCAAGATCAATAATGAATTTAACCAGATTTAAATATATATATATATATATATATATAATGTACATATCCTTTCTTGCTGTTAAAAAAAAAATCAATTAATAAACGATAATTATAAACAATGAAAAAAGAAAAATCTTTAGTAAAGTCTATAATATGCTTTAATAGTAAATAATAGTAAATATTTGGTTTCTAACGATTTTGAGCTTTTTTTTCACCGGCTAGGCAAACATAAACTGGTCTATAAAGAACCAATGGGACTTGAGATGTCACATGATCAGTTCCATCATAAACTTGTCCTAAGAGAAATTCAGGACCAATGTAGCATCCACCTTCGACATGTTCCATTGCAGTTTCTATAAAATTAACATTATATGAGAGACATTAAACATTATGAATGAACTATCGATGTTTAGTTTTGAATAGAAACGAATTAATATTGACAATACCAACCATATTTAATCTGTGGTTGGTGAGTAAGATTTGGTATTCTAAAAGGAACCGTTGCCACTGTAATAGGGAAATGCATCTGCATATCTTCACCGGATTTTTCTAATTGCACACTCACCTAAAATAATTACGTTAAAAATTTTCAATACCAATAGTCTAAACGAATACAAGATCATTACAGACTTACCTTTAAGACATAATAAATTTGTATTAAACGACACACACCAACTAAAGTTGGAGGACAAACAGGGAGAATCATTTTCTTAGATGAATCCCACTTAATTGCAGTTCCCGGTGGAACTGGTTCACCTTTATACTCCATAACAACTTTTTGGAGCTCTTTACTCGTACCAAGAACACCTCGATCGATAAAAAATTCAACATACTAAGAACAATAAATGAAAAGATTATATGTAAATGTGAAATATTAATAAAATTTAGTAGTAAGACATTTTCATTGCTAATACTTCAATTAATCCTTCATTGATTTTATATATCGATAAGTTTAATAGATTTAATATCTTTTCAAATTTATTAACCATATTATAATTAATTTAATTTATATTTAACAATACATTAATAATATATATATATATATATATTTAAATTATATTTAACAATTACCTGTACAGTAAATTTATAATGAAAATGCTCTTAATTAATATTTACAACATAATAATAAATACTTGAGTTAATTTAATATGTAGCCAGGCTTTCTCGATTCCTTTGTTGTCAATAGCAGCCCTCAACTTTATACTTTCACCACAAACATATGCGCTTCTTTCTAACTGAGCGCTCAATTCAACAGGATTTCTTCTACAGCAGAAGCAACAAGATGTGCGTACTTCGGTTCCTATCATAGGTTTCTGTAATAATTAAACATTTTTCAGGATAATTGCAGTGCTATTTCTTTTTAAGATAAATGTCGAATTATATTTGCAATCCATCAATTACTTATAATCATTTACTTGTACAAAAGTTTACTGAATTTGAGAATTATTACCAAATACTGCTCGTCCATGCAGTCAATATGAGGTCCGATTAATGTAAAGTACTTTAGTCCTTGCGGAGGACTCGCATAAGGTCTGTCGACCGTTGCTTTTACATAATAACGCACATAACCAGTGCGAGATTCGAAGCTACATGGCAAAGCACTCTCCGGTAAATTAAATGTAAATGGGAATTGGTGTTTCCCACGTGGTAAAATTGGAATAGGGCCTTCGGATGAATCTAAAATTAATTGCCCGTTTAACATTGAGTTGAGTAATCAAATAATCCGTTAAATTGTGTTTATTTAAATTACCATGACCCCACACTACGATACGCTCGTCAACAAAATATTGATCATCCTTTACATTTCTCCTGTCGCCGCTAACTAAAATTTTCCATTCGGCATGAACTTGACCTCGCAATGACAATCTCATTGCTATAAAAATCAAGATATTTCATTTAAATTTATTCAGATATATAAGAAATTTTAATCTTGCCACATAATTTCATATCTACCTTGTAATAATTTTCTAATAAATAAGGAGGAAATAAATAAATAACGCTAAAATTAAAATGAAACTTAAATTTATTTATCGTTTAAATAAAGTTTTAACAAGTTTCCTTGATAAGATAGTTATAATTTCATGCTTATAACTTGACATTACACTAATAGATTTACAAAAGCTTAGAAATAAATAATTTTATGCACAATGTTAACGATAATATAATATAATAAAATAAAATAATATAATTATAATGATTAAACATGCTTAATGTACGTATTAGCTTCATTCGCATTCAGTATAAAACATACAGTAGTAAGAAATAGAAATAAAGAACTTTGAATATATTAAGTATCCTGTTTACAAAGAAAGATAAGAGTTTACGTACATCGTAACTTGAAGTTCTCAGTTGTATGCAAGATTACATGACCATGAATAATTTCGCCTGCATAATAGATATCTTTTTCTAGTTTAATGTCAAATTCACTAATGTTATCCATAGTACAATTAACTAATATTTACAATGAATTTCGCAAAATATTAATATATTGTATTTTACAGAAATGCAAAATTTCTAAGCACGCGATTGTGTGCGTGTGTACGTGTGCCTGTGTGTATTTTTTTTTTTTTTTTATTATTATTTTTTTTTTAAGTGCGCGCGCTTGTGTATTATTATGGATCAGTACACTTGAATATTATAAAATATACCTGGAAGACAGTTTTCACGACTTTTTAAACACGTTATTCCACGTAAAGTGGATCTCAACTTTGCCAATTAAGAAATTAATAGAGAAGATTATCAACAAGACAGTGTAAATAAATAAGATATGAGATAAAAAATTCAGAGCTGTAGATATATTTATAAAAAGCTATAGATGGATGCCATTAATATAAATAATTATTATCAGCTTTTAAATGTTACATTTAATTACAAAAAAGTTTTAACGGCGACTATCCATTCTACTTATTTATGCTTTCTTTAGATGCAGCTAAAGAATCTTCAAGTACATCTCGTATAAATCTGAACACAGACTGGAACACTCAAGTTCATTTTCCTTGCTGAGCCATGACGAGAAAATTCGCATTTTTCCCCGATCACTGGGGGACACATTAATACCTTTATCCTTTTAGTAAATCGAACCATCAAATGTAAATAATTTCAAAACGGCCCTTAACAACTTTCTCTCGCGTCCTTCTCACCCGCATCGAAATCTAAAATTAACTAAACAATCGTCGATACAGGCCAACCGAGATCCTTCGTTCGATCTTTTATCTTCGTTTATGTCCCAAATCTCTAAATAACCTTAAGGCTCCTTCTCAAGAACGACTTTTTATCAATAATATAAATATTTTCATGGAAACGATGTAATGGCGCATTTGTCAATATTAATAATGGAGATTGTCTGCTGGTATTATTAGGAAAAGTTGAAGTGACGTGCTCCATCGTTTGAATATTCGATTCTCATCGCACATGCATTTACATTCTTTTGTGAACGGAGTAAGTATTCTCTTGAGACAGAGATAAGCGAGAGAAGACCTAATGGTAATTTGCAAATATTTGACATGGAGGCTAATGTTACGCCGGTAAATGCGGAAGTTAAAAAAAAATCATCAAAATTTGGTATTGCTCTGGCTACTCTTACAGGTTTGTTTACATTAAACGAGTAATTTTTTGTCTCGTTTTGTTTTGCTTAGTGGTTTTCCTATCATCTCCTTTTTATTAATTTTTTTCTCTAAAATTTAATCATGTTCTATTAAATGGCAATGATCAAACAATTAATTGTTTGATTAATTGTACATTTACTTAAGACTTATGGATTCGTAACATTTTATGTGTGATATATCACTTTTTAATTTTATCATTTGATCGATAAACTTGTGACAAAAAATTATAAATAAATTATAAATTTTGAATTATATTTAATGCCTTTATAATGTTATTTAATATTATAATTCTCGTTATAGGTGGAATTGGATTAGCAATTTCTGTTATTACCATCCCATTTATTACCCCAGCATTTAGAAAAATATGTTTGCCATACGTCCCGTCAACCACAGATCAAATAAAAAATATTATCCTTGCCTTAAAGGGACGTTCGGGATCAGTTTTAGACGTAGGTAGCGGAGATGGAAGGATCGTAAGTATTTAATTTATCTCGTTATTACGTATTACTCAGCCAAATGAGTTCAGTACTCAAGACAATAAATATATGTTCAAGGTCATAGCTGCAGCAAAAGCTGGATTTCAAGCTGATGGGATAGAACTTAATCCGTGGCTGGTATATTTTTCTAAATTATCTGCTATTAATCATGGTGTTTCATCAAAGACGTTATTTCTTAGGAAAAATTTATGGAAATATAATTTAGAAAAGTATGATAATATAGTTATATTTGTGGTCACGGAGATGGTATTTGAATTTTATAGATTAATAGCTTATAAATAATTTGATAAATATAATCGTTATCTTTATATCTCCTATAGATAGAAGATTTAATAGCAAAATTTCAGTCGGAATTGAAACCAAATTGTTCGATTATAGTTTGTCGATTTCCACTTCAAAATTACAAACCAATTTCAACAATTGGCGAAGGACTGGATACAGTTTGGGTATACAAAACGCCCTTAATGAATAATCTGTAAGATAACTTTTTCTATTGACATACATAACTGTCATCTTACAAATTTATTGTAAATACTTTTTAATTTGAATATTAATAAACAAATCGTGTATTACTTCGTGAATGAAATTTTTATTTTATAAAAATATAATTATAATTATAATAAATAATACTTTAATATGAAAATATAACTTTTGTATGTGATATAAAATATTTAATAACAAAAATGGATAGTCCTATTTGTCCAATTATTAAGCTCACCATACTATAAACTAATTAATAATAAACCGTATTTTATTATCGTAATATTCAGAAATTTACAAGCATGCGGAAAAACAAGATTGGTAAAAAACAAAAATATTAAACATTAAAACTATCAAGAGTATTTCACTTATTAGTAATATAATATAATAAATTTTAATATAGCAAGTATAAATTGTATCACGTATTTTGTAAGAGCATTATAAAAAATATATTATGCTAAATCATGTTTCTTAACAAACAAATTGCACATGATTGTTATTATAAATATATATATATATACTATACTCAATTACACATAAACTTTATTATATAACAATAATTTAAATAATAAGGTAACTTTATACAGATTATACTATATCAATTAATTGTAAATTTTTAAACATTATAATTGTGATATTTGCATTTTAAAAATGCCACTTGGATATTCCGCTTTAGCAGTTTTTATAAATTTATTTTTAAAAAATAAGTACTTTACTTAAATTGTTTGCATAAAAAACTGACTTATAAGATTTAAGAGTCCAATGATTGGAATACAAATATAACAAAGAACTTTAAGCATAGTAATCGTCCCTTGCCTATATGAGATCATCAAATGTAACAAAGGTGGTAGTGTAAATACATAAACAAGTCCACTGATCGCACCAGTGTACCTTATAATCGTTCCTATATGCGGCAAAAACACCGCAAAAAGAATACAAATTGCGACAATAATAAAATTAATTAGTAATGTAAGACTTCGGCGGCATTTAATTGTCTTGAATAAAGAAGAGAGCAGTTGAATCCTTAACATATAAGCTAGTAGAGGATAAACGGTAAATAGTTGAAATAAAAGAACAATTCGTGCCCCAACGGTGAGTCCATCAGTTTTTTGAAAATTGTTTAATAGATTCTAAAAAAATATTAAACAGATGTTCAATCGATTTGTTTTCGTATTTATACTTGTACTGGTATAAATTAACTTACATCTTCGATACAAATTTTCATGAGCGGGAAACAAACGTAAAATGCAATTCCAACAATTATATAAGTAATTGTTACTAAAACATAAGCTATAGTCAAATCTCGTCCCTGCAAAAACCAATAAAACAAACAAACAAATTTTATAAGATATATTAATATTGAGTATAAAAAGAAATTAATTTTTTTTTTAATTTTAAGAAAAAAAATAAATAAATAAAAAAATACATATAAGAAGTACTTTTTTTTTTTTTTTCTTTTCTTTTTTTTTAAATTTAATTTAATAAGCAAGATTATGTCAGTATAATTAATTATAAAAATAAAAATAATAATTTTTAATACATATTATTCAACTTTATCATTGAAACAAAAAAATGACAATAAGATAAAACACAGTAAATATTTTTAAAAAACATTGTAAATAATTAATCGAGGTTTTATTTGCTGTTAAATATTTATGTTAGTATAATATTGAATATATTTAATACTTACATTTTTATGTTGATTACGATTACTTTGCATGATTGTTATTATTATATTATGGATAAAAAACGATAAAGATAGCATTCCAGATAAAACTGGAAATGTCGGGCGCAGAATCCAAATATCATCCCAAGCGGCTTTATCCATGTTAATGCCCCATGACGCTGATTTTATAAGTACGAATAAAACTAGATATATAATGGCAATTGTACCTGTATTGCAAATAGATGAAAAAATTATATACATGGTTATTGAAATTTCATGGAATGGCAATACGAGTTGCGTTGCCACAAATAAGTTGACTTTTAATTTACTTTCTTGTAAAATAAAATGTATCATAAATAAACATATTTTACAATTTTTTAATCAATAAATCATTATAATGAGGCTTTGAAAGTTTTCCTCTTAAGACAAAATTCGACAATAATTATTTTGATACAGAATATTTACTAAGGAAAAGATGTAATTACGAAATTTAATTTCATACATTCTTTTTCGAGATAAAATTACTGCTTCTTAACTGAGCTTACCAAGAGAATTGAATTTCGTAAAGAAAGTCGTAGTATTAAAATTCAAAACAGGAAATACTAATAAAGCTAAGAATATCGGCACTGTTTTGTATAAATCCCAGATTGGTCCTAAATTATCATACGAAATCTCATAGTTTATCGTCGTATTTAAAATATCTCTTTTAGGGCAAAGTACTGTAGAAAAAAGAAAGGAAAAAGAAAGAAATATATATGTATGTGTATATATATATATATATATATATATATATCATTTTAATTTTTAACATAAAATATTTGAATTAACGATTTACTTACTACTTTCACTTGTTTTGTTGGAAGTTACAGATGATAGAGGAATATCAGTCATAATATCTATAAAGAAAGAAAAATCGACATATAAATGATTATAAATATTTGAGGAAATTTTGAGAAAATAAACGTATTCTATGAGACTATCGAATTGGAAATGATGTTAAGAATTATCTTACCGTAAAAAAAATTAACAGAATTATATAAGAAGTTCGACATTAAAATCCAGTATGCGATATTAGCACCCATAAGTACACTCATACTAAAAATTTTCGCCATGTATTCGGCCCACGAACCCAGAAAAATTTTACTAAGTTCCGTCACTTCGATTCCTTCAACTCCTCCTAGACAAATAAAAATTGTAAACATAAGATCAAAAATATTTATAGCAAAAATTTTCTTACGTATAATTTTTATCTTTGTAAAGCAATATTAACATACTTCAATGTAAGAGTTAGGTTTTCGAGACAAATATTTGTTAATATTTCATAAAGTACATTGAATAATCAAATAATGAAACAACATATTTGCAATGAATTATCGGTAAAGAAAAAATGATAAAGTTAAAAATACAATTATTTTGAAGAAATGTCGTAAAATTGCTGCATATATATTTAAATATGAATAAGAATATTTAATCTTTCGATTCTGCGTATATTTTCTACTGCTTTTTCTAAAAAAAAAAAAACAAACAAAAATGTTAACAACATACGTACTTTTATGAAAATTTGAAATTAACAAAAAAAAAAAACATTATGCCACACTTATTTCCATTAATATTATAATTTTGTTATAAACGATAGATTGAGCACTCGTACGCGCATACTTCCATACATTGTTTATCATATTTTTATTCATAAAGTGAATTGTTAATTATTTTATCGAGAAATATAATTTGATGAATTTGCACGTAACTTGGAAGTTGAGCTAAAATTTATTGACAATAAGGTAAAATATTTGTTAAACAATTTTTTTTAAAGATTCTTAATATTTTAAGAATTCTAATAATAGTTAAGACAAAAATTAATGAAACTAGGAGTCTTTTAGTAACGTGCGGTTGCGTGGGTTAAGCGGACAAGGACAGATTGTGTAGTAAGAGTAAAAAACTATGATACACTGATTATAGTAAATAATTATTTATCTTATACATTAAAGCCATAATCGATAAAATGTCTTTTTCGTATTTATTTTTATAATACTTGTATTTTATAAAATAATTATTATAGATATCTAATGTTCGGATTTCTCTCTTTTTGTTTTATAAACATCTAATTTCGCAAACCGTTAAAATTATTCGCTTCGTATATCTATAACAGTTACACACACACATGCATATATATATATATATATATATATATATATATATGTATATATGTATATATATGTATATATATGTATATATATTTGGCCTGTATTTTAATTTAAAGACAGACCTCCTGAATGATTAGAAAATATAATCAAAAACTGATAAGCGTTTGCGTCATATCTTAAGTGTATACAAGTAAATCGCTCTAACTATAGTTAGTGCATTTATTTTTAATAAAATCAGTCGAAGTTTTATCATCCTTAGTTTTTCTTCGATTTTAATAGCTTAGTTTTTTTTTTTTTTTTTTTTTTTTTTTTTTTTTTTTTTTTATTTATTTAATTAAATACATATTTAACACGCTTATTTAACTAATTGAATTTACTGAAAGAAATTATAGTTTATGTGAATAGCTAATACTTTTCTCATAGATTCTTTATCACTATCGCGGATAGTGCTCCATCATTATATAATCAAGAATAATATTTTTTTGCTTCTTCTAGATACCTTAATATTATTTTTAAAATAATTTTATTGAAAAAAAAAAAGAAATAAGAAACTATATTAAAATTTCATAAACATTTTAATGCAAAATGGTCCCGTCCTAGGACACGTCATATCAATTAAGGATTAACAATCATTACAATTAGAATTATTATAATTTTTTTATCTTAATCAAATGATATATAAAATTACATCTACCATAATTATAATTTGCACATAACTGCACAAGTATTTTTATGAATTAATAAGCTTTTTTATTTCGTTATATTCAAATGTTTTACCATAATATTTGTGTACTTGTAGTAATTTATAGGCTGTGAAGAGACATAAACCACTCATGGCAAGTATAAGGAGCATAGCAGGAACAAAACCAGCCATGTAAATTCCCCATGGCATAGTCAGTATGGAAGAGCCCAAAATTGTGTTCCATACGGAAAAACTGAAAATTTTATTAATTGCTTTTTCAAATTGTTTGTATATTGAGCTTGATTGAAGGTAGAGAATATTTACGACCATTGTCATTTACGTAGATTTAAATTCATAAGACAATAAATATGAATAATAGGTAAATCTACTGCCATATGCAAAGAAAAGGGAAAGAAAAATTATAAAACCAAAAAAACAAAAAAACAAAAAAAAATTTCGTAATATTTTGGAAAGTATATTTGCAGTAAAGTAAATTTGATCAGAGAAAATAATTTAGCGGCGTGAAATAGATTTGAAAACGAAATTGATCTATGTTGGATCTACGTTGCGGAAATCATGTAATAAAAATTTAAATAAAATTTAGAATAAAAGAGTTATTGCTCAATATATGAAACAGCTATAAATAATATAAATTTTGATATGAATTACAAATACAAGCTACTAACTACCTTGTCAAACAATTAAAAAAATCAAATATTTTATATTATGGAAAAATTATCATGAAGGTCAGGCAATTTTCACTTTCCAATCGAACGGCTGCTTTCATGATAAGACTAACGACTATGTGTCATGGAGTATTTGTCTGTCGTTTATAATTTTAATGAACGTCATATAATATTAAGCCTTAAGAATTTCCAAATCTCATTGCATCGGTCGGAAAATCTACTATAAATTACCTATTTAACCTCATTAAGAATATCCAAATTCATGTACAATCGAAGAATTGATACGAAAATTTGAAGAACAAATAAAAATATTTTCTCTCGATACAAACATGTTACAGACATTGTTTTTCTAATTATTACAATAACAAATAAATTTTTAATAATAATACATTTCAATTTCCGGCTCATTTAAATAATTATTAAATTTCAATTTTTATACAAAAGCTGATAGCAATTTCCAATGATAGTGCTCGCATAATCAGTTATAATAATAATAATAATTTTTGGTATATGCGTTAGAAAAAAAATGTATATAAAAAGAAATAATTTATGTTTTCAAGATATATTTAAATGGTACTGATTAATAATGAGAAGATTATTAAAAAAATTTAGTTACATATTACGATAAGATTTTCTTGACATCATTTGCATTTTATAAGAAAATTCTGAACAATTTATTTTATATCAATTTTCAATTATACAGATATTTAAGGACTGCGATTATTAATAAAAAAAAAAAAATAATATTGTTTTTTCAATATATTTTTGAACGATATTATTATTCCCATAATAATTTTAATTTTACAAATACAGGAAATTTCATTATGATAGAGATTTAACAGCAAATGTTACCAAAATTTGTCTTATAATTATTATATTCAATTGATAAGTGGTAAATTAAGAATTTTGTAATAATCAATTGACAATGTTGACTTTTAAAATGGTATTTAAAAAAAAAAAAAAAAAAACTATATATATATATATATAAAGCATTTAACGATAGTCACAAAATTAAGGGTAAATATTAAATTTTTAATTGCTTAAAAAGAAAGAACAGATATTCGTTATACTTACATTGTGACTAGAGAACTTTGTTTTGGTTTGATGTCTTCCGTGATATCTTTGATAAGTAATTGATTTGACAAAGAGTTTGAAAAAAATTCTCGCAATAATTTCTTCTTTTCTATGCCAATATCCGTATCAAACACATCGCCTTTAAATTGCTATTTTGTAATAAGAATGTTTTCTCAATTACTAAAAAAAATTATTACAGCTCAAATAATTAAAGGTAATGTTATATGAATGAAAAGTGATAGAATGTTATAAAGATAAACAAAAACAATATCAGCGCGAGTAAAGAAATATTTTTAAACAAAGACTTTGTAATCGATGACTTTGTCGAACTTTGCACGGCACTCGATTTTCCTAACGAATAAATGTACTTATTGTTTATCGATCCACTCATCGAGTCGTTTAAAACGCGCTTACACATTATGTCGTGACAATAATGAAAATTCAAAAATGAATCTCCTGCCCATTCATAGTTATTCTGAATAGCTTAATTTGCCATCGCGTATCAATGCACATTGCAACAGCAAATTGTCAGAGGTAATTTGGAAGGTAATTAATTGTAAGTTTCTTTCGTCGACATAAAGCAAAACGACAAAACATCGTGAAATGAAATATCGTCGCAGAGTGTCAACGCGCAACTTTTTTTTTTTTTTTTTTTTTTTTTTTTTTTTTTTTTTTTTTAAATAAAAAGTTATATTACTAAGAATTACTATATGAAATATATTTAACTACATTACCAAATCGGCATTCTGAATATCATAAAACTTTTCGCACTCGAGATTCGGCGAGAATGATGCTCTGGCCGACGAGGAAACGCGATTGTTGCTCGTCAATGCTGCTGGCCTTTTTGCTTGTAAAACGGAAATCGAACCATAGTCCTGCGTTTCGTCGGTCAAGCTGCTGAATCTGAAATCAAGTGATTTCACGGTGACTTATTTATTACGTCGATACAAAAATTTTCAAATTTCCAAGTTCAACGGCCATTCCCTCGGAATTACCGAATCCGCGGATGTCCTATCGCTGTCTATGCACCTAGCCATTACGCACGAGGCCCCCTTTTGACGCGCTCTACGTGTCCATTTGGATTACTGACCGGGGTTTCGATTATCCGAAAAATCTACCCGACCAAGGTGCAGGGATGGACTGGGCTGGCAAACGCTAGCAAGAAAATGGAAAACGTCACGAGTCACTTCTCGAGCCCCAGCAATCGCATCGGCTGTAGCGAAAGCGCGCCATTTAAATCATCTGCCCCAATGATCCAGTGTAATTAATGGATCGGAACCTGGAACGTACCTAGGCACAGGGCATTGCATAACATCGCACATCGAATGAAACTTTACAATAGCAAGACGAACAGCGATCTCGTAGTGAAAAAGCACGCCCCACGAGCTTCGATCGAGCTTACGAAGCTTCCATTGCATGCAAGTCGAGTAGTGTGGGGGAGGGATGGGATGATTGTCCCGCAAGTACGGCATTACCAAGCATTCGAGTCGAATTACCTGAAGGATGAGCCACTGCCACGACTGGACTCGTCGACGTTGCTCGTCCCCGAGCCGTGAAAGTCGAGGAACTGATGCCCGCGACTCGAGCAGCCCGACGAGAGGAGCGCGGTGCTCTCGGAGCCAGTGTCGGGCTGTTTCCCGTGGACGAGGCCCCGCTCGGCCATGGGCTCGGACGGGGCTCAGTGCCGGTGCCCCGCGACGGTCACCGGCCCTCGCATCCGATGCGTCGAGCACATTTCCGAGAGCTCCCCACGACTCTACCGATTCTCTACTTTACAACTTTCCAACTAGGCCGACCGCCGAGGCGCTTCTGCCTCTCCGTGTATCGCGAGTCGCTAACGGCCGGCCCTGTTCGCCCCTCTCCTTTCACTTTTCTCCTATTGCACTTGCTTGAGATGAGCCGCTCGAACGGCGAAGGGTGGAGGGGACACCTGCGATTCGTGAGCGCCCCCGAGCCGATAGATAAATTCGTTTCAAGTGGAACGACGCTAACCACAACAAAGAGAGACACAGAGAGAGAGAGAGAGAGAGAGAGAGATCTTACTTCAACCGCGTCCTATACACTGTCGCACACTACTTATCATCATTGTCTAACGATGAACAATTTTTAATTGTTAACTAGCTGCTTCGATGCTGCGTGTCAAAAAAATTATCCAATTGGATTATTAATTATCGTACCTGTGGGAGAGGGGTCCGGTGGATGAATTTACGTAGGCTCGAGGCTCAATTGTGTGGTCGTGCGAGAGGCCGATGTTATTAAATGTTACTTTTCACGCAAAGACTTTTCGCTAATATTTATATTATTCTTATCTAAATCCTTGTTTATTTAGTTTTTCGCGTCTGTCTTTAAGGCTTAATTCGTGCTTAGGGATAGCAATATTAAAATCGACAAAAATCAATTGCCAAGGCCATACTAAAGAGTAAAATCCTTTGATGAATTATTATCCTTCGGTAAGGATAAAAGAGAAGTCCACGTGCTGTATAGAAAACTATATGCGCTTTTTCCCTTCACTACGAAATTCAAATGTTTCTTATCGTTTCTATGCGTATAACATCCAAACGTAATCACCTTGTAAATAACAGAAATACTTTGTATCTTACTAGTGATAGTGCCAAGATGATATATAATAACAATAATTTAATCTAAATTCACGTAATTTTTCATAACACTCCATCCATCATTTTTTAATTATTATCGCCTTTTCATATCTAACTAACATCCGATATTTCGGAGCATTATTCTTGCAAAGATAGTGATTTTTATTTAAAGAAATTATACTTAAACAGATTATTTATTTCTTCAAATTTCAGTCACTCAACGCCGACGAAATTTCACATAAACTTTGATGGTCCATGATTATAAGAGAACAAGTTATTCTATTAATTACATAGCCGAAAATTAAGCTTTATTATGCTATTTCATATTAATGCGATTAATCTGTTTTCTTCTTTTTCTTCCTTTTTTCTTGCTTTTTATTTCATGTAAGCCAAGTGTCAATTCCCTTTGGATCTATAATTAAACGTCTCAAAAAAAAATTTTGGAATATTGTTTTAATTGGTTGTTAAAATACATTGAATTTTAGTACATAAATTTGTTCCGTTTGCAATATTTTTCTTTAGTATTTAATTTAATACATTACACACGACCACACTGTAAACAGATTCTTTTTAATTTTTTGAGATATTAATAATAGATATTAATATATTATGAAATACGATATATAAATTCTCGTGAAAATTGTATTTTGTCGTTTTATTGTAGTCTATAGTAAACATAAAATTATGGTATCATTTAAAGGAGGACAGATATTATGTCACCAATAATTATTAATTACTACATTTTTAGTATCTCTGAATTGACAGAAACATTTACTGAATAGGAAAAAAAAAAAATTATTATCAATATATTATATAGAATTTATTAATAAAAGAATTGAAATTAGAAAAAATAAAATACAAAATAATACGTAAAATTTTACTAAACAATCAATTAGAAAATATTGTCGCATTTTTATATATTATAATTTTTTTTTTTTTTTGTTTTTAATTGAAATGTCTGATACATTGGGTAAATTGTGCATGTTGTGGAATTTAATTAAATAATTGTCCGGCCACATATAAATTGTGGAAAACAACTCTAAAAAATCACTCTTGAAACTACATAGTGGAATAAAATTTTGTCGTATACAGTACGTTTATAGTAGGTCATTTAAGTTAATAAAGAAAAGGTTCAATAACTATTATCATTTACAATGGCAAATTTCGATTGAGTGGACATTTAAGTATTGTTGAATAAAAAAAATAAAATACAATTCTAACTTGTTATTTAAGAACATTTTTTTTTTTTTTTTTTTTTAATTTATATCCATATGCGTAGATGAGGAAGTAAATATATTAGGAAAAAATATTAAAAAAAAAAAAAAAAAAAATCACATTTCTCTCGGCATCTATAATCAGATGTATTACGGTATGATTTTATAAACGCAAAAGTTTCATCATTCAATGAAACCAAAACAAGTAACATGAATGTTAAAAGATAAAAAATATGATGAAATAAATAGATTTATGTTTTCATAAACAGTATTATTTTATACATAAATAAGTCCCTTTACATATAATATACTATTATATTGTTCTTAGTAATCATAAACAGTTTTTAGCCGGCTTGTTTAGCCCGTTTATTTGTCGATGACATTATGATAAATATGACGTTTTTAGTACATTGCAATATATTTTAGAGTCAAGTCTATCCATAAATTTCCATGAAAATTGTATATATATATATATATATATATATATATATATATATATATATATATATATTAGAAATATAAATAAATTAAATTGTACTATAATTATGTAGCTTGTATAACAAAATTAATGAGACGCTGAAGCAATTGCTCATTTTAGTAAAATTTTTCATAGGTCATAGGAAAGAGTCAATTTTTAGATTGATCGAGTATTGATTTTTATTAGATTATCGAAATTTCAATATTTTAAACTAATTATCCGCCGACAAATGTATTTTTAATTCCAAAATTTCCTAGGCATTTTAATAATACTTCTAATAATAGTACAGAAATATAATTATTAAATATTTATTTTCAAATTTTTTTACAAAGATTACCATTTTAATAATGTCTTATTAAAAAATTTCATTTGGAAAAGTTTTTTTTTTTTTATGAAATGTTTATAATCATTAAATTATTGTTAAATAATGTTCAAATACATTTATTATTAGGTACGTTATGTAACGAATATTCCAGTAATTCTATATGACTTTCATCTTTACATGAAAAAATTATTATCTAAGAAATTAATTAAATTAAACGAGCGTGTACATAAATAATAATACATAGAATATTATAGTCAATATAATTTATTATATTATAATACATATATAATGTTTAATGTAATTATATGTGCATATATATATATATATATATATATATATATATATATGACTTAATTTTATTTAAATATCTACCAATTAAGTTCTGCACGTAGTTTCTTTAAATCAATAATCTTCGTAAACCATAACATTTGCAAAGTATGTTTTTAAACATGAAAGTTAAATATCACTTTTCGTAACTTATGTGCTTCGGGATACAATAATAGCATTATCGCATTAACAAAATGAATTGCCGTCTATTAGTATTAAATTTAATCATTAATATTTTGTATTTTAATATGAGAATATGAATAAATTTTTTTCCTTTTTAAATATAGTACTATGACCAAAGTCTTCCAATTAAAGTTGCATTAAATTATTATTCAAATATGAGAATGCCTTTATAGAAAATTATATATATATATATTAAATATATATAACACATATAAAATCAATAATGGACAAATGAATAATGTGACTATCTTTACAAAATCTCTATCGATTCAGTCATGAGTGTCAATTTGTTTGTTTCTTTTTATATAATTTTTACGCAATTTCTACAACCGATTGATTATACATTATGTCATTGATTATAACTGTTGTCTTTGATTTTCAAAAAATCTTACATCAAATGTCGTTGCAGACTGTTGTCTTCCTATTAACATAAATATTATGATTAACCAATCGAATAACGTACATAAAATTGGACAATATTATAATTAAAATAAATCCAACGAAATACACTGAAAAAAAAAAAAATTTTTAATTAGTGAAAATCAAAAGAATATTCTGCATTTTTGCAACACTCGGCTAACCTGAATTTAAAAAAAAAAAAAAAAAAAAAAAAAAAAAAAAAAAAGAACAGCGCACATACTTTCATTAATAAATAATATATAACATTTCATTGTTAAAGCGACTTTTTCATTTATGCGATTTAGACGGTTATAATTGAAATGTAACTTATTATAAAATAAAATATGCCCAATATTTATCAGAGTATTTTAACACATTTAGTGAAATTTCGTAGGAACGATAATTACTTTGAAGTGTGGTCCGTATGTGAAACTGCCTGTTATTTCATAAATAACAATTAATACGAACAGTTACAAACTTCTACTTACAAACTTATTATGTGAAGCTTAATATCAATGCTTTTTCGTGAAATTTCATAATAAACAGCATTCCGAGTTTATACTTAAGATACAATTGCGCAATATAATTATAGCTTACAAATTTTCGACGAAGCTCGTTCTCTATTGTATTTAAATTTCCGTGCTCAGTCGAATGTAATTACTTGCATGTGCAAACAAAATCCTCACTCAATTCATTTACGAAGCCCATCTTAAGTACGCAAATATTTTTGCAGATAATTTAATTTTAATAACAAATAGGATTTATTATGTTTGATTATTGCATGATTTGTGTAAATAAAATACCCGATTGAATTAAAATTATAAATCGGTATATCTTCTTTAATTGATAGCTTTGTCATCGGAGTTTTATTGTTTGAAGTGATTACGAGTGGAAAATGGAAAATAGGTTTAATAATGAGGGTAATGATGCTCAAGAAACAGTTGATTCCAATGAACCGAGTGAATTAGGTATGTTAATTTTCTCAAAATATCTATTTAATGTATCATTGTTGTAATTGAATTTTAGGTTAGTTTCTCATAAACTAAGTAACAATAAGAATTCATTTCTTTTAAACGCATTATGTTATAAATCCATAATGTCGAACATTTACTTTGTAACTTCAAATTTTTTAACAATTTTTTTTTTATGCCAAAAACATATGAGTAGCTAAATAACGAATTTAGAATAATAGAAGTAAACGAAGGAAATGTTATTTTGTAGGACTAGCAATCGATGTAAGCTTAAATTTAAATGAGAATGTGAATATTAATGAAGATAATCAAGCGTCGTCGTCATCCTCCACTAGCGACTTTGATTTGAATTTACCAGCGTCGCATTCGGTACGTTTTTATCATTCGTTTTACATTAAGAACAAACGCTTAATAAACAACGTAATGTTTCATAGTATTTGGGTGCCAATTTAAAAGAGTTGAGAGGTCGAACGTTACTGGATGATGGTATATACTTGAATCTCCCGTTACTCATAAAAGAATCTATAATTTTATTTCCTGGACAAACCTTACCACTGACTGTATATAATACAAAAGTTATCGATATGCTTTCAAATTGTATCGAGAAAAACCGTACATTTGGCGTTGTCAATCGTAATGGCGTTAAATTAGCATCACTAGGCACAACGGCAGAAATATATGAATACACGCGTGCTAATCCTATAGAGGGATTTTGTGTAAAAGCGAAAGGAAGGCAGCGATTCCAGATTTTACAGACCAATCCAATTAATAATGTATCCTTCAAATATCAACTTGTATTATAAATAAATTGGTGTTTCATTTCTTATATTTTACATAAGTAATCGGTGTACATTTATAGGGTGGAGAAGTTACATTGGCAAATGTTAAAATATTGCCAGAAAAAATGCTTCCACATCCATTTATTGAATACAAATTAACATCGCTAGATAATCAAAGATTAGATCCGACTGACCGAGAGCATAGAATACTAGACAAAGTAGAAAGCGTGGAAGCTCTAATGACTCATTGGCCTGCTTGGATTTACAGGCAATACGATATATATAAATTGGCATTTAAGATCAGACAACAACTTCAATTTATAGAAACTAGTAATACTTTCATTATGATTATGAATTTTAAACGAATTGTATCGTATTACATTAGAAATCTAATAATTGCAATGTATTTTAATGAAATTTGTAGAAGGAAAATGTATACCTAGAGATCCAACGGAATTATCTTTTTGGGTCGCTGAAAATTTACCATTGAGCAACAATCAAAAAATTATACTATTAAAGTTTGACTGCGCTATTTCTCGATTACGATGGGAATTAAATTATCTAATAACAGTGAGTAACGTTCAATTAGCTTTTTTCAACCATCGGCTTAAAATTATGTTTACTCAAAATTGTAATTAATGTATGCTTTTTAACGTCGATTAAGGACCGAATAATTGTATGCAAAAATTGTGACAAATACATTGGAAGACCGTGTGACATAATCGTAATGAATAAAGAAGGCCCGCAAAGTACGTTTTGTAACGCAAATGGAGAAGTTCACGATACCATAACTTTATCTAAAGCCAAAAATCTTGTGCTTATAGGTTACCCTTCTTACCATTACAGCTGGTTCCCAGGGTAATTAACATATAAATTTATCATTTATAATAATCAAATATATCGATTGAAATATATTCAGAGATTTGTAACGTAATTAGATGAGCGAGTCTAAGATTAAGCATACATATTTTTGTTTTGTATAAAAAATCTATAAAATGCTAAAAAATAAGTTAATAATATAAATGGAACTTAGTATGCTTTTTCAACATGAAAATAATTATATGTACATATATATATATATATCTATTTTTTTTCTTTTTATAGCTACTATTGGACTGTTACAGTATGTGAAAGATGTAGATGTCACATGGGATGGCTATTTAAAACTAACAAAAAGAAGATTTTAAACCCTACATTCTTTTGGGGCTTAACGAGAAATGGTTTAAGATCCAAACACATATAAATGATACTCTGATAATTTAGTGTCAAAGCAATGTATTTAATACAATTATTAAATGATGTAATAAATTTAATAACGTATATGAAAGAAAAAAAAATTTTATGTTAAAATTTTTTAATTATCTAATTTTTCTTTCTTACTAAAAGTTATATGCAAAAATTAAACATTATATATATATATATATATATTTAAATGCTACTATAAATATCTTGGGTTCATCCATCTAAACAATTTATATTTTTAATAGAAAATAAAAATAAAAAAGTATACAAAGTATATGTAAAACCTTCATAGAAATGATATAATTTTAGCAACTAAAAATTGGCATTAAAGTAATTATTGAATAATATTTAGTATTATTGACGAATTCTTATATATTCTTGAAAAAATAATATATATTTAAATCAATTTAAAAAATTATCTAGTTATTTGTGAAATAATTAATCTGTTATTATTCTACATAGCCAATATTTCACAGAGGACTTTAAAAATGTTATTGAATAATAGATTAAAGGGACGTTTGAAGAAAACTATAAAAATTATTAAACATAAAGAAAGGAGGTAGTATGTATAAAAATTACTCGATTTTGTTTTAATATTTCATTTCGCATATTATATATTTTTCGATTATCTTAAATCAATTGTATCTATAATATAATCATATGTTCATTATGTACCTCAATCGTTTTTGCTCTTTATTTTCGCATGAGTGTATCATACCTTAATTGTGTTCAGAACGACCGTTTGCCGTACTCGATGCACAACACTAATACGGCCGTCGCAAGATTAATCAATTTAATCATTGTCGCAACGCATCAAACTATTATGCCGTTAAATATCGACACAACTCGTTCAATTACATCTTTACATGGGAGAATTGCAAATAAAGCTATCAATAATTTCAGCGTTTTAAGTCCCCGATAGCCGTCCGTCCATAGATTTTCCACTTAATTTTTTTTTCACATTTTTCTATTTTATTGTTCGCGTCAACAAGTGCAACATAGCACAGTACGGTCAATAGCATTTACGCTGATCATTGGGTTCTCATATTAATTTTTTTTATCGTGTTAATTTTCATTATTTATAAAACGTAGTCGCAAGCAAACTTTAATCGACTGATGATTTTACGTTGCATGTACATCCGAACGTTAAGTTCCTTATAGCAAATATAAGTTTCATATGTGGGACGTCGAATATATTCTTGCTCTTTATTTCTCTCTCTTTCTCTCTCTCTCTCTCTCTCTCTCTCTCTCTTACTCTTACTCTTACTCTTACTCTTACTCTTTTTAGCTTTTGATGATTCAATTATTTTTCCGTGTAAAATCTACAATTAAAATTTGTTTCAGAAAATAAACAATTTAGTAAGCACGAGTGTTGGAGTTTTAATGACATAATCGTCTGGATAGTCAGCAATTAATACAAATCTCTATTATTCATGATGTATAACTGGACTTTTCTTATTTTGTTGTTCACGCGTTTCAATATTGATTAAAATGTGACTTGATTACCATACATTTCAAATAGACATTGATATAATTATTATAATTTAATTTTTCAATTACGTTAAGTTTTAACAAAACAACAATTTCCACAAAGACAGTACCAGATACGATGTATTTATTCAGTTAAATAAGTTAGAGGCTCAAATGCGACAAACTGGCATCTCGTTTTCTATTATAAGCTTGTACATAGTCGATTGTAAGCAATTGAATTACACATAATTAGTTTACCAATTACTGATATATTTTAGAAATTTTACAATTTTTACAATTTATATAATTATCGAATTATAAAGCAAAATAATTCAATAGTATGAAGAATTTATTCACTTTTTGTTAATTTATTATAAATAACTTTAGGAAAATTGTAATCTCTATATACAAAAAGTATCTATGCTCAGCATTTTCATCAGAGCCTTCGAACTTTAATAACGCACACCTGCAAATTGCCCAAGAGAAAAGAAATTTATAAATTACATAGCTCTGTTGTTAATTAGTACGCTTTCTTCATCATTGTTGCAAGTATATTGCAGCAGTACTTGCATAATTTTTTTTTTTTTTTTTTTTTTTTTTTTTTTTTTTTACCATATACATATATTCCGGTCCCCTTTCAATACCAACTCTTTTTACGAGGAACGTCTTTTCAACCAATGACTAAATGCAATTTGCTTAATAAATCAAATTGTAAAAGCACAATGCTTAAATATGTATAGATATATCTGCATACATTTGTTAATTAATTTAATATGAAATCAATTTAGAATTGAGATGTTTTTCTAAAATTTTCTGTATAATTTTTATGTTGAAGATTGACATGATAATATCGGATATCGTGAAATAGTAAAGTAAAAGTTTTTTTTTTTTTTTTTTATCGATAACTCATATATTCTCTTTTTCAGTAAATATTAAATACTCATTGAATGCCGATAAAATATTACGGAATGGGGGGCGGGGGAGGGAGGGGAGGGCAGACATAGGCACAAGTCAGGGAAAACGTACGGTACGATATTGACTTATACTTCTTATTTTTTTTGCTGCTTTCCAGACTTTTGTCATATATTTTTCTTATATCAAAAAGCTGCACTCTTCGCCGTGCTAGTACTTTTTCCCCATTTATATTCGACACATCTATATATCTGAAACAAATAAATAAAATGAAAATCAGAAAATTTATTACTTCATAGTTTAACAGTATTTGATGGATGTCATTTATTATGGCAAACGGATTTATAAACGCCGTCGAGATTGTTATTTGTCATTCGTTATAAGGATTTATAGAGAGAGAAAAAAAATCTTTAAAGATTTCCTTGTAATATTATAATTTTGACTTGTTAAGTTACCATTTAAACAAACTAGTGACACTTTTGCTGTAATAACACCGACATTTTTTGTTAAAACTATTTAAGTGCTTAATATCGTACATTAATTAAGAATTCTGATCAATAGCATAATTTACAATAATTTAAAGAATAATAAACATCCAGAATTCTCCATTGAAGGTATTGCGCATTAAAATAACTTATACGAATTTTAAACTGTTTTTTTGTCAAGGTCACTATTATTTCCTATGCCATCACTTTTCTGTAACGATCAAACTTATTTGAATTTGTTCCTCGCACTTTTAACATTAAAGAAAATTAATGTCTTACTCTCGATTTCTGATCCCGCAGATATGAACTTTGTGTGCGCTTGAACAGCTGTGCTGGCTTGTTGGACATTTAGAGGGACGCTTGGTGTTGGTGCTCCAAAACCAGGTGGCGGTTGCATTGCCCAGTGCTGCGCCGGAGATGCACCCTGCTCCTAAAAAATTTTCATCCAACTTGTAATTTAATACTCTTCCGGAATCCCAAAAGATTATTCAAATTTATCGATTATCTTGTTGGCGATTAACTTACACTATACGTGCTTTTCAACCATTACCGCGATAAATATTATTTGACATTAACGTTAATATTGCATCGTAATAAGAATTCAGGATATCCTTAAGATGTGCAGTATGTTGTAAATATATCTTAGACGCGATTAAGCTAAATTGAAAATTTGAAATAATCTTTTAGTTAACCAATGAATTCACACAGTCTGCCTATGCACAGGAAATTTAATAATTCTTCATTTGACGCTTAGCGAGCGGCAATTTTCATAATATTTTTGTCACTTTTATCGCGTGCTAAGTTTTCATTATTATTAGATTTGATATTATAATTTTTTTATTACTTTTGCCGCGTTCCGGCAATGTCCATAAGTAATTTATAATAATAATATTAATAATAATAATAACAATAATAATAATAATAAATCAATGGGAGGTCAACTAAAGAAAGGAACCATTATTATTGGAAATCGGAATGTCAGAAAGCTTCAGCATGGTACTTTTAAATTTGCATTAGCCCTTGATTCCCTTTGGAAATGCAACGGATAAACTTTCAAGTACCTGCTGGGCATTGTGAGACACATTGTGTGAAGGGTGCGCATGAGGAAATTGCCATGTGCTGGTAGTACTCTGGAATGGAAGTAGCCGGGAACTCACTATGGCTGGATCAACCGGATTCAAGTCTGAAATTGATCCGAAGTTATTCCAGCCACCTTTTTGATACAGCGCCTGATGATGAAATTGCTGCTGCTGTGACTGCTGCTGTTGAGTACTTATTTCACACCAATCTTTTAGAGTGTAAATCGCGTCACTGGCACACTTGCCAACCCCTGTGAAAAAAATATTTATTTGTTTATAATTGAGCACATCGTAAAAATTGGCTTTCATTAAAAATTCACTACTTGTAAAAATGCACACGATATCAAATTTTAATTCAATGCTCAACGCTAATCTATAACGTCTATTATTCAATTAGTTTATACAAAAACTATTGCCTTCGCATTCCCTTGCATTTATTATGCTTACTTATTCTTGAATCCGTTATTATTTTAAATACGCTAATATTGGCTATATTATTTACAAAATTTAAGGCCCAAAACTTACTAAAGGTGATTGTGTATTAATTGAAAATTAGAGTATTATTAATCAAGTGATTGTAGTGTCGTGCTTTCAAGGATTGAATAAAGAAACAAAGCGAAGAGTAAAAGCAAATGAATTACCTTGGGAACTGAGGAGAGGATTTTGGTTTTGAAGAAACGAAGTTTGCGAAGTCTGTTGTCCTCCCGTGAATAAGACCCCGGACGAATGACTCACAAATGGCAGTATCTTACTACCTGTAGACATAAGTAAGTCTGTAACAGAAACGCCAGTCACATATGTAACGATGCGTTTTATTCGTATTGTTTGAATTAAGTAGGGGCATTTTAGCAGCGGCGAGCAAAATAATAATAATAAATAACACAATTAATAAATAAATTAAAAGAACAAACAAAGAGATTATGATATCGATCATGAGGAAGTTCATGATTTAGAAAAATTACAGCCGTTAAGTTTGTCTGTGATAAAGGGTTGTCAAGACACAAGAAAAAAAAAAAACAAAAAAAAGTTTTTCCAAATAATTCTCCAAATCATTCTATCAATTCACGAGCCGTTTTAATTTAATTTATAAAATATAAAATACAAAAGCACAAAGGCAATTAACTCGTAACAACAAATAAACACATGTACATGGACCAAGTACGGTGATTTAATTGCGATGTAAAATTGATACTCACAATATTCGATGCGAGTATCGGTATATGATGGTAAAAGAGGATGAACAGTTAATAAATAATTGGCTAACGCGTCGTTTGCGACAACGCGAACACTCGCCCAACCACCCAATTTCAACGCATCCACGGGCATGCACACGCACACAAGCACACGCTCGCGCCTACACGCATGCGCGAGAGAGCAAGTAGCACGGGATAAAGCGTAGCGAAAGGATTCCGATTGCAATAGCTACCTGTGAGTGTGTTGGCCGTGGGAGCCGGACGTGGAATCCCGAGGCCAAAAGAATTCATGTGGTTGGGTGTCGAGCTCGGGAAACCTGGTGGTGGCAGTCTGCTCCGCTGGCCCAGCGCGGCAACCGTCACAGAGCCCTGCACCGGACTCTGGGTACCGCCGTTCTGCTGCAGCAGCGTCTGCGGCAGCCGCGACAATAGGGAATGCGGTTGCTGCAGCACCTGTAGATTTTGTAGATGCTGCGCCTGCTGCTGCAAATGCGCCAGGTGAGTGACCTGCAACGTGTCGATAAATTTTTTAGTCGCAAATTCATCGTACCGCGAACGAGGGTAAATGAATTAACGGAAACATCAACAAACTGTTTCTTTATAACCAAACGTCTTGTTTTGACTCAAAATGATGCCGAGTTAATTCAAGCATGGGAGCATGGAAATATTACGGGCCGTGCTCAAATAAATTGGAATTATCGGCATTTACATTGTTTGGTTAAAATAATTAATATATTGAGTTAAAGCGTGTTTTTACAATTAAAAATTGTCGTAATTTTAATATTCGGAAAATCTAGCGTCGATTCGATAAATAAAAATTTTTTCAACTGCAACTTTAATCTCTTTGTTTATTAACATTGCATAGATTTTTTTTTAGATCCAAAACAATGTCGTCGTGTTCTCTTAAATTATGCTGTCATATAAATTATTAACATCCGCTGCAATTAAATTGTAATAACATATAGATTAATTAAATTATATTTCGAACAAAATTTTCGTTAAATAATTTTTAAAATGTAAAATGTGTATTACAAGAATGCTTATGTTGAAATAGATGTACATTAATTTTAAAACTTAACATAGAATATTAGTTTCCATTACAATTGAAAAAAAAATTCATATTTATTAATCTTCGCATTAGCTAATTTATTATGGTAGTAAAAGCGTACTTGTGTGAAATGGTGTGGACCGAGTCCAACGGATCCTTGCTGATGCTGTACCCTCGTCTGTTCCTCCCTCTCTCTCTGCTGCTGTTGTTGAAAAAGCCTCTGCTGTTGAATCTGTATTTCGTTCTCCATGAGTTCCGCCAAAGCTTTCTGCGTTTCGTGAAATGGATCGAAGCCTAATTCGTCATCCGCCTTCATTGTTTCCGAACCCCCTTGTTGTTGTTGCTGATGCTGCTGCTGCTGCTGCTGCTGTTGTTGTTGTTGTTGCTGCTGCTCTTGTTGTTTTTGCAACTCGCTCAACGTCGCGTGTCCGTTTTGCTTTATATAGTTACTGTTCTCCTGGTTCTGATTCGCCTGAAAAACATCGTATGGTAATGTCTATTATTTCGTTTGTCTTGTATGATAGTTTTTTTTTTTTTTTTTTTTTTTTTTTTTTTTTTTTTTTTTTTTTTTTTTTTTGGCGACCCATCAAACTTCGAACAATATGAAAACAAACGGTTCTCTAGCGCTTATTTTCGTCATTGTACATGCCAATATCCGTAATAGCCTGACTTGCAAAAAGTTGCGATACAAAGAACTCGCTATTGTATCGATTAAAATGAATAAAAATAATAAATCTCGTGCTCTAAATATATATTAATATTTTTTAAATTTATTAGTTTTAGAATTCGAGGGTGATGAAATTTCGTTCTTAAACGACATTTATTATTCATGTTGAAGGCGACTCGGGGGATGAAAAACTTTTTCTTTCTCATTCGAGAATGAAAGGAAAAAATAAATGCCTCCATCAGCCTCACCTGCATGGCTAACCTTTGCTGCAACGAGTTCTGCTGGAAGTCTGCCATAAATTTGGATGCGGGTGTATTGACAAGTAAGCTGGACGCTATACTACTCGCAGGATTGTCCGATATCGAGGAATTGAATTGGGCAACGCTCGTGTAAGTTTCCTCGGTATCGATGAAATCCTCGTTACTGAAGGATATTCGGGGCGACGGCGTGGGACTGGACTTTGGCGAAATGTGGAGAGACGAGCGCGAGAGCTCCGTCTGGAAGCCAAAGGCTGCTTGCCAATCTTCGCTTGAGTAAACCGTCGGCAAGGAGTCTGGAATCGGTGTGATACCCGAATTCGTCCAATCTACTCCCGTATTCGCTGAAAATAAAAGGTCGAACAAAGTTATCACGAGTATTCGCGAAGCACGAGCATTTAATGTTCAGTGATTATGATCGGATTGTTGGTTGAGTTTTACAAAATTCCACCTTTCGAAATTGACATTTACATAGGCGAATAATAACGTTAGATCAATCGAGTATTAAGTACCGCAAGATATATCACATTTCTTTCGCCACAAATGTTGTGTATTGTATAAGATATATATATATAATTACTATATTTGCCTGAATTTATTTTTTTTTATTATTTTTTTTTTTAACAAATTCTGGCCCTTCCGCACTACTGACCATCGTCAATTCATCTGCTGTATATATCAAAATGCTTTTCTAATTAAGAAATGAAATTTCATTCAATCGATTCGTACATTATTTTCATTAAATGTTATTCAACCAATTCTGATGTCTTTTTCATTCTACATGCTCATCTACCATTCGCGATAACGGAAAATTTTGAAACAATGGTAAATAAGGCTCTTATTCTAAAAAAATATTAGTAAAAATTAGTAAATGTATAATAAATTGAATTATTCAAATTCAAATTCAAATTCAAATTACACAAAATTATCAAAACCTTATGTTGTAATAAACATTTGCGAAAATTGAAATAATAATACAACGTAAAAGAGATTGTAAAACATTATAATTATAATTAGTTCATAATTCATAAAATTTGATAATACATTCTACTTACATTATTTATATCTCTATTGCTAACTGATTCTATATTATACATAAATATACAAAAGCAAAACGACACGTAAACTACCTGATAAATCAGCATTTATAAGATAATCATGCAAAAGCGTCATTAATAGTTGAAATATTTTTAACGTTTACTCTTCCATTGTAATTGATTAAGGATTTCTTCGATTACACATTTATATTTATTTTAATTTATTTATAAAGCAAAAATTTATTTTATACAAAGTATAATATATATAGATATATATATATATATATATATATATATATATATAATATAATATAATATAATATAAATATAATATAGTAGCGTAAGCACAATGGAACTCAATTATTTGCTTTTTAATCTAATTCATACATTAATTATATCGATTACTGATATTATATTTTCTGAAAAATATGACTCCATAATATTAAATACATTGCGTTAACTATCTAATTTTTTCAGGCATTTTAGTAGCAATCTTTAAATAATTATTACTCCTTACATTTTATTATTTAATCTAATTAATCTCGATATAATTTAAAAAATATAAATCCACACAAATTTATATTTACAACTTATTATATGTAGATTTTCAAGTATTGTACTAACATTATCCGTAATGACTTTTGATATATAAAATTTGTATCGTAAATTAACTTTTTTTATTATCTTATTATATAAATAAATTTTTAAAGTTTCATCATCTAGAAAAATATATAAATTTAAAACTAAAGGGTAAATACAATTATTGATCCTTTTATATACACAGAATCGCGCGAACAAGTGTTGAAATCTCTACAACGTAATTGATAATGTACTTTTCTAACAATGTATAAATATATATTGTTATGAAAAAATATATATTGTTTTAAATGAAAAATAAAATTCCAATCTACATTTAATTTAATATTATCAACACAGTGTCGTACAGTATTAATGAGTTTGTATACTCACAAATTTTGTTTACATTTTTGAACGCTAAATTAAGAGTCTCAAATATCAGTAATAACTTACCTAAATAAATAGTTTTTACATACGAAGTATGGATTTTAATTTTATCTTCAAAATTTTCTATTCTACAAATTTTATCTTCGAAATTCAACTGTAATTTGTAAGAAACCAAAATAATACCATAATTTGTCAAGAAATTTTAGTATTTACTTTAAACAAACTAAACAGACCGAAATTACTCCATCTAATATTTTGGCAAATACAATTTTAGTAATCGCCAAGTAAATATGGCGTCTTAAATAGATACACGCGCGCGCGCCCACACATGCAGGCAATACCCATGCGCATATAAACACAACATATATATATATATATATATATATATATATATACACTTAAAATTATGTATAGATTTTATTCACTTACAGGAATTTTATAGATTAATTGATTTAAGAAAACAATGACAAAATAAATCACGATGAATAAAAAATATTTAATATTATCTATTTACTTATATGTAGCAATACTTATGTTTATTTTGTATTATAAATATTGTATAAAAATATTTATATACAATTACTATTATAAGTTTTCTTAATAAGTAATAAATATTCATCATTATTTTTTTCTCGTGATCTTATGGATTTTGCATTAAGTTCTTTCTAAATCAATCTATTAATTTATAAATGAATAATCTATTAACATATAAGTTTAAGTATAATTTCACTCTTATTTTTGTATAATTAGAATCAATATCTAATTTTTCATATTTGTTTTTAGAAAATACTATTATTTTGTATCTCAAGACAACATATTTGGATCAATAAATTAATTAATTCTCAGAATCTAATTTTATGAATTCTATAGCTTATTTAATCTTATTTTTTCTTTTTTTTAATGTTTTAAAGTAACAAAATCTGTTGATATATAAAGTCAAATCATTAGAATATTAAATTTTTAAAAATATTTAATAGTATAAACTGGCAAATGTAAAAAGTTTGGAGGTTAGTTTTCCTATTTTGTAATTTTTTTTAAAAAACAATAGGCATAGTTAATATTAATGGCTTTCAATAAATATTACCCATTTTTACGCTCTCTAACTCTTATTTGCTAGTTAGTTTTTTTTTTGAAAGTATTATGAAAATTCTGTAGGAACAAGTAGCAACTGACTTTTAATTATATTACATACACACACACACACACACACACACACACACACACACACATACATACATATATATTTATATATTTATATATAGAATGTATAAAGATTGTGTATACCTGTATAAACATTTCTCCATTACACTTTATATATTGAAAGAATGATTAGTCAAGTTATTATTTTCATAATTTTTAATGTTTTTGAAAAGAAAGTCCACTGATGCAATGTAGTTATGGAATGTAAAGTAAAACTTATTCTAATGTTTTAAATAACTTACCTGCTTGTGTTGTTGGAGGTGTGGTTGTCGTTGTAGTAGGAATTTTTTGGAAGGTGTTTGAACTAAAGAAACTGTTATTATCAGATCGAAAGATAGATCTGTGATTGATTTGTTGAACTGGAGCACCATTGATACTATTCGTGGAATGTAATCCGGGAGGTGGTTGCTGACTAATGCCTTGTGATGAATTTGTACTGACTGGCGAAGAACCTAAACAACGATAAATACTTTCTACACTACAAAATGATCATAGATTGTTATTAATCATTTTCTCACAATGCCAGAATAAACAGCTGATTATAAACACGATTATTCATTAATTTTTAATTAAAACAATATTAAAGTTAAGCACGTATAAAAGATTACTTTCAAATTAATAAATAATGTATCATCAATGCATAGAATAAAAAAAGCATGCATTTTATAATTTTTGCATTGATATAAACGTTATGTTTTAACGTAAATTTTCCTAGTCATTACTAATTTCTGTGTTGTTAATATTGTTTCTTACCTTCAGTGCTGATCATTATTTCTTAAAAATGAAAAGAAAAAACACTAACCATTGAGAAACTCTCTTTATTTTGGCATATATAAATTGTTAATGTATTCCATGTGCATGAGTTCCAAGCATTTGTCAAGTTCGTTTTTAACACAAAATCACAGCAAAGTTAATATCAGCAGTTGATATTATAATAAATTCTTTCAACTCTATAAACAAAATCTTTCTTGACGACTTGTTTCAAATTCATCTTTGAAAGTACACAGCGATAACGGAAACGATTTGCTATTTTAGCGGATTGACGTTTTTGATAAATATAACGATGTAACAAAAGTACTTTTCTTAAAATGTGATAGTACAATTAGTACCACTAATTGCTTCTCAAAAGTCAAATTTTAAAGGAGATACTCCAAATCCAATAGACCAGCAGTGCCAATAAGACTACAATGATTCTGATGAACTCACCTAAAATAGCTGTGCTATTAGTCTCTTCACTTGACTCAGCTAAACGCTCCACTTGGTGGTTCGTATTTGAGTCCTCAGAGCTAGAGATTGTACTTGCCGGAGTACCAGCTTCTCTCTGAGGCTCATCATTCTCAGAATGACATTGCTCTCCGTTTTGTACAATCCCATTCACCTTATCCATCTGCTGCACTAATTTCGATCCTTTATTATTCTGCATAGTCTGTTGTTGGGTTGGCTGGTCGACCTTTAATCTAGCAGCACTCAATTTTTGCACCAGCACTTCAGCACTCGTTGCCGTTGTCGTCGTAGTCACTGTCGAATCATTTACAAGGCTTGAGATTTCCTTCTGGCCGTTCACTTGAGGTTGCACGGTACTACTACCATGCGTCGTGATGTTGGAATTGGATTCCGATCGCGACGTCAGCCTCGTATTGCTGTGTTTTTCCTTGTTCTGCGAATTTTTGTGCTTATTCCGTGCCGCCTGAGCTTTGCTCTCACTGGTGCTCTTCCCTCGTCGCGAACTTACGACACTTTCCCCTTTGTTATTATTATTATGCTTCTGTGACGCAGGTGTGGAATTATTTTGTACAACGATGCCATTCGTACCATTCTCAAGATTCGTCACATTGTTCAGCTGCGTAGAAGCTTGCGTGGGCGAGGATTCTTTCAAATTCGATTGCGTCTCTACAATTACAATATTATTATATTATAAATTTTGCTTATTAAAAGAATTTAATTATTAAATGGAATCTTATATGGCCAAAACGGAAAATCGGTTTTATAACAAACCTTTCGTTTGACCCGGTTGTAACGATGGCCAAGCTTCTTTGGCTTGTGAATTTGGACCATTGTCCCGTGTACCACCTCCGGTAACTGGTGGTGAGGGTGTCGGTTTTCTAAAATAATAATTTTTATATTTTTTATCAATTTAATGGCAAAACATACATTTTCTAATACGTAAATCAATTGTGGTAAAGCAAGTTTTGTTCGAGATAATTTTATAAAAGATTTTTAAATAAATTGTATAATTACAATTAAATTTTTAATAATCAATTTGAACGCTTAAAATATATGTCTAAAATATAGACTCCTTCTCACTCACCGCTGGGATGTACTGTTAATATGTAAAGATTGCACAAGTTTCCTTTCATATTCCTGATGTTTACCCTGATGCATCTCCTCTTTAGTAAATGATGCTTCCTGGTCTCCAAGGTCATGTAAATACATGCAGTCAGGCTTTGGACAACTCTGATTTCGCATAAAATGCGAACAGTACTTTGTGGTACCAAGGGATGTTTTTATTGTCCGACCATCCACAACTATATTATTTACAGCTTCTATCGCACGTAACGCATCTTCTTGACGCTATTTAGGAGTAATAAATTAATTTAAATAGTAATTCATCCAATTCATTATCAATATATATTCAATAAATAATTCCAAGACGTATGTTTTGATTAATTAAATAAATATATATACATTACTAGAACGTAAGAAATATACTATTACAAGATAGCGAATAGTTATTTTTAAGATAAATCATAGTCAAGTGAATATAAAATGATTTTTCAAACAACTTTAAAATAAATTCAATTGTATTTTCAAAGGATTATTTAAATTGTGCATAAAGGAATAAATACCTGATAAGTAACGTAGGCTGAAGCACTAGGACCTTGTGATCCTGCATACGAAGTACTCTGATTTATTACTACTTTGTGTATTTTTCCGAATTTTCCGAAATACTCGTTTTTTTTCAAGACCTAAATATTAATTAAAATATTATATTATCGTATTATTTGTAATTTTGTTTAAAAAGGGATAAATAAATATAACTGTCTTACATCAGCATCTGCCAATCGCATAGGTAATCCCACTACGAAAACAAGATTTTTCTGAACTACTCTTACATTTGCTAGGTGTTTGCGATTTTCAGTAACACGTTGCTTTCGCTGCTGATCTTTTAATCTTTTTTCCGCCTTCAACCTAAATTATAGAATAAAGTTTATTAAAGTTAAAAGTACGATGGTAAAGATGGTATTAGTATACTTAGTGCCTAGATTATATTAAGCATTACTTACCTAGATATTTCTTCTTTTGAAAGAGGTTTAAAATCAGCAGGATTTTCCGAGTAAGCTTTGCGACAGGCTGGACATAAACCATTTTCATCGGTTCGAATTCTATGCCAGCAAAACCGGCAAATTTGATAACCACAAGTACACGGAAAAAAATTTAAGTCGTCGACCTCCAGTGGTTCCATACACAAAGGACACTCGACCACTTCATCCCCACTCTGATTCAATACTGACATTCTATTTGTTTGTTAACTCTTTTTAATTAAGAAAAACAAACAAGCTACACCTTTCGAAATCTAAATATAATACAAAAACAAAATCACACTCACTTCATTATCACTATTAAAGTATAAAATATCCCAGATAGGAATTAAGTACAGATAATTAATTAATGATCTCGCACAAATGAGCAACTTTAGAAAACTGATAAACTGTCATATCGAATTTTTGAACAAAATCCTATCTAGGTTATAATAACTTCTATAATTTATTTATTATTTTTAACTCACTTCTGATTATGTACAAATTTCTTAATAGTGGCAAAGAAATCGTATCTAAACTTTTCTCCTACAAAATTGCCTTTTTCTGGTAATCTAAACATAAAATATAAATAAACATTAAATTCACATTAATATTATTAACTAAACACACTGAGATAAAAATTTATTAGTAATGAAGAAATTTGTTGATAGCTGTTAAATTTGGTTATGAAAATTATAAATAGTACACAGAATGGTTATGAACTTTTTAATTCATAACCATAAAAAATCATTTACCAAACACGAAAACTCATTATTGACATTTTTGTAGGTAAAAAATTCCTTGAATAAATTATACAAGTGTCACTCAATGACATTAAGGGCTATGTGTCTTATAATTAGCACTAGATGAAAAGAAATTTGAATTTTCTGCATTGATGAATAAAAATAAATACGAATAAAATATGGTATTTGTATTAATAGATAACTCGCATTTACTACCTTTTCAACAAATTTCTCCAGCACAAATAACTTCTTATTCCCAGTGCACCTCGCAATCATATCTGCATGGTACATCTGTCTGTGTTTGTAAACACCCGATAAAATGAATAAATGACAATTCGCCCTCAACCCGCGTAAAAAATGAAAAAAAACTTGAATGCACTCCGAATGCAAGAAAAAAAAGGGCAGAAAAAATCTAGCGACTCGCTACGAAATGGAACCTCGAATAATAAAAAAGAGAGAAGAATCTTGTCCGTCCGTCAACGTAAATAAAACGAACTACAAAATCTTCGGCTCGTCATTAGTATCGTGCGAGAAAAAGTGTCACACATTCGCGACGATTTGTGATAAAACGAGAAAACGAACATGAAAGTGCGAGACAGAAACAGAGACACGAGAGAGAGAGAGAGAGAGAGAGAGAGTGAGTTTGACGATGGGGGAGGGGGGGGGGGGGGAGGGAA